AGGTGTCCACCCCATGGTTTTTGTGAACTACTTTGCGGCTGCGGGCATCATCCTCGGGCCCATCTTCAGCTACCTCTCCGGGGAGAAGTGGTCCTGGCATACAAGAGGCCTGGGCACAGTTGGCCGGCGATATTTCCAGGCTAGTGGAAACCCAAACCATTTTTTTCCGGTTGGTATCGAGTGGCAACCAAAAGTAAAGAACCCATCTTTGTGAGTCCTCCATTTTGAGAGAAGTACCTACTTGGGATTCCTACAGGGGCTCATGTTTAGCCCCCAGTCTGGTGAATGTTAATCCATGAAGATCGTACAGCCTCTTGTCTTGCATTGGAGGTCCATTCGCGAGGGCACCCCTCATTGTTTGGGTAACACCCCCCCCCCAAACTTCTGATTCCCTAAGAACAACTAGTTGATACACAGTTCAATCAAATCGACATTGGCCTTGGAGGATACCGGGGAGCAAGGGCTGTTAGGCGTTTGGGTCCTATGGAGTCCGGCTGAGTCGCGAGACGCAGGCGAGTGGCCTTTGATTCTGATGCTGGCGGTCTTCTCCATTGCAGGGCAGGCGGCCCTCACGGCTTCAAGGTTATTCGGGCCCTTGGTTAAGCATTCCACTGCTTCCAGGCAAGCCACTGTAGGCAGCTAGGGTTTCTTAACCTCTAGCTTTTTCAGAATGGTTCCCCTGGTTACCTACCAGATGCTTGCCTGGAAGCACGGTGAATAGTTTCAAAAGAGGTCCGTGACAAATTCCAGCAAAGTTAAGCTTTTAACAAGGGATCAACGTACCACTGAGTTAAACCACTATTGTTTTACCACCCTCCTGCTGGATTCTCTTGACAGGTAGCCAGAGATGTGCTAGTTAAACACATGCTGCCCAAACCTGACCTTGATGCAATTCAAAAAAGAAACGCAGCACCCTGCGACTTCGCTTTCCATGTCCAAAACGCCAAGCGCGGTTCAAAAAGCAGTCGTTGCAGGGCCCCAAAAGCTAATGTTTTGAAAGGCATCTCTTTTTGGGGAGTGCGCCCCCTTGCAAGGGAGAAAAGCTTCATCTTCCGTTTCGTGGTGAATTGATTTGGGTCTCAAACCCTCGCCACTCAGTTCCCCCCCTCAAGGACGGGCAAACTGCCTGGTTGCGCACTAACGGGGGATAACAGGAGTTCCTTTGTGCTCGGGTCTCACATGTTGAGTTGGACGACACTCTTTTTGGTTCTGCCGGGCTCGTTAATCAATATTGTAGTATAGAGATGTGCGCAATTAGCACATGGACCTTCCTGATTGACCCCATCATTTCCTCACAAATTTCCAGATGCGTGCTAGCTGTGCAAATTGGCCGGGCAATATAAGGGAAACACCACTACAAACATTTGTCTCCCATATGATCATGAGTTAACCCGAATTAGAACCGGCACACACGTTTCCATTCGAATCATTCAGGCCCTCATGCAGTGTTCCTTAAACGACGCATCCAAAAAACCACCTGGACCAGTTTTACAAGGATTCGGATCCTCAAGGTCCGATGGTGAAAATGATCTTTCCCCCAACAAAAAGCGGGGCCCATGATGGACCCCGAGACCTTTTTGGGAACCGGCCCTTATGGAAACCTCGTTGAATGCCTCATTTCGGCAGGTTCAATATAACCATGCGTACAAGGAATGATTGTCAAGTTTCTTTTGCTTGGCTCCTCCCCAATTGCAGGAAGGCAACTCACCAATTGGAAGGCGCTGATGAACCTGGGCCTCACCTTGGAGACCGCTGCAAAAGCCACAGCCATGAACTACTCCCAGGCGCGCGAGGGAGGGGGCAGGGAGGAGATGGGTCTGGGTTAGTGCGATTGCGCCGTTTTTCAGGGGGCTGGTGGCCGTTTTTGGGAGGTACCCTTTCCTCCCACTTCGCATATGCAATGGTTGGGTGTCTGAAATTGTCTGAAGTTCACTGCACTCAGGCATCAAGGATCCCCACCCCCGGGGGAGGGGGCGGTGGCCCCTGGACTTCCATTGGGTCCCGGACCCCCAGCGACCCAGCCAGGGGGGAGCCCAACCATGTGGCCATGTCTCAGACCACACGTCTGGTTTCAAAGTAGGATATGGAAAAGAACCATGGCGTTGGGGGGGGGGGGGGGGGCAAAACTCTTGGATTCCCTCTAGCACCATCCAAAAGGGCGCCCTCCAAAAATGAGACGCCAATACATTCTGAGGGGGTGCCGGACTTACCATCAAAGGTGCCCTTTCCTTTTCTTGGCATTTGTTGTGCTGAATGACACGCGGCAGGTGGTGTTTGCCTTCATCTTCCAGACGACCTTGCTGCATGAGGCGCCGCTCGCGTTTTCTCAGTTCTGGGCAAATAGTTGTAATCAGCTACACCGGTCTGAAAGCAAGCGATTGAGTCCGATTGAGCCCATGGAGGGCTCGAGATTCCTCATTGATTGCGCGCCCAGAATCAGTCGCTCTTCCGCTGGTTGCACGTCAAGCCTCGAGATGAGCAGTTAAAACACTCAGCTACGTGTCAACATGTTCACAGGCGTCCTAAATATTCACGCATCCATATTTTTTGGCATGTCATGCCTTCGGGGGGCCAAAGGCTGAGATCCCTTGCATGAGGACAGAGTGATGATTTCGGGGTCACAGCCATCTTCCGGTGAAGAGAATCGACAACGGAGCTGATGAGCAAAGGTGCAGACGCAATTCCCTCCTTCCGAAACACGTTAAAGGAACAGCTCCAAACGGTTTCTTCGCCAGCATCGCGAGGCTCCATTTGGACATGGGACGTGCTTCTTTCTTTGGAGCCAGGTTTTTGGAGGTAATGAATTTGCTCTCCTTCCCATGTGCTTGCAGTGACCACTATAGAAGTAACGGGAAGCACTGCGCTTGTTTTCCATTTTGTTCTTAGTGTTTTCTTACACCTCGTTGCTCCCAGGCCACGGACCCCCTGAGCGTGGCGGGCTCCGCGCTCATCGCCGCCTGGGGCCTCATCGCGCTGGTCAAGGATTCGGGGAAGCCCCCGGGTTCCGGGCAGAGCGAGGTCACGGTGCCTGAGATGATGCTGAGCCGCAGGACAGGGCGACCTTATGGGATTAATGGACCTGCGGGTTGGGGGGGGGGGGTGGGCGGGGGGCGGATGCTGCATGGAGTTCGCAGCCAGCCACACGTACACGTACTCAAAGGGAAGGTTAGGACAGTCCGAAACATATTGATGGGTTTTTGGGCAAGATGCCTTTGAAACCGGGCTTCCATCGACTCAAAGGGCCTTTGAATGGTATTGCGTTTCGTTCACCTTCCTGAGCGACGTTTGGCAAGTCTTCTGCTCTATTGTGCCTATGTCAGGTCTGGTAAAAACCTTCTAGCATGGAACATCAAACGCCAGGGATGGCAAACGCCGCCCTGAATAAGATTTGGGTAACCATCTCCAATGGGTGTGTTTTTTTTTAATGTTCCTTGATACTTCTGCCAGCCTCCCTCGTTGTGGGGGGTGTCCCACTACAGATTTAGGGAATCCGGGATCCCCAAGTTTGAGCAGCCCAGATAGACCAATCTAGGCGGGACAACTCCAGAGACGGATTCCCCAGGAGCTCTTACGATCTGGAGCACCGCGATAGCGAGTTTGATGCGCACTAGGCGACAACCACATCCCACCGACTTGCTGCGATCCCACCCACGTTGGGGTTCAGCAGTGCGGCAAGTTTTGTGTGCTTGGGTCAACTCCATGGCTTCATAGTGTAAGGCTTACTGTGGATCTCATGGCTCACCTGAGACAGGTTGACAACAACAGAAGGGCTCTGCACGCTTCCCCCTTGAACATCACCGCAGGGAGATGGTCTAGACGTGGCAGCCAACACCTGATATCCATAATCGCCAAGATGCAGAAAAGCAAGGAACAACCCAAGCATCTTATATGTTTCTACTTGTTTCGCAACTGTATTTGGGGTAGGAGCTCATGCAGGTCTTTCAGGATGTTTGTCAGGTTGTGGAATATGCGTTTCACGATGTCAAGGTTTGGCTTCCAAGCTTGGAGTTGAAGACCCAGCGATCTTTAGGCCGGCGCCCGGGCCACGGGAGAACCGCGCGACAAAAGAGCGTTGCGGCCGGTTCCAGTGGATTCTACACTGCCCACTGCTTCCATGCGTTTCGCCACTGTAGCACGTAGCCAGTTTTTTTTTGAGACTCTGGAAGGGCCCTGAGTCATTCCACCCTTCTCGTTTTTTGTTTGGCGGGCTCACGGGTTCCAGTTCTTTTTCTACCAAGGCCACTGGGATATTGAGCGTGCCCTGTGTGAAGCCCAATTTAGCTTCAGGGTACGGGATGTCTAAGTTGACATATTGGGATTTCCTTTGCCCTATGGGAAACTGCTGGTTGCATATGCGCGTTCCGCGTGTTTTTGAGTTGAGCTAGATGAGGAAAGTTAGAACTCATCATGGGGTTTTGGCGTAGTCTCCTGTACTTTCATCCTAGAGGTTTTGATTCTGGCTCAGCTGTTTTTTTTTTTTTTTTTTTTTTTTTTTTTTTTCCGGGGGCGGGGGGCACTTTGGGTCGTTTGGATGGGAATCTTTCAATGCCGATGGCTTGGTTCTAAACCGGAAAATAGTTTTAAGCATATGCATGCTTGAAAAGCCGCGGGGAAAAGAACACTAACAAGCAAATAAAGGAACTGGGTTGCTTGTGCCATGGTGAAACATGGCTTCAGGTTCGTGCGGATAAAACACGAGCCACAGGTCCATTTCAGTGAGCCTTTTGAGGGGCTTCTCCACATTTGTGTCCCGGCGGATTTTCCTTGAAACCACCATCCCACTTCACTAGTTCACGCACAAACAAAAAGACGCTTGGGTTTGGACCTGGTGGCAAACAAATGGGGCAGTCTCGAAACAGGGGGACTCCCCCCCAAAAAAAGAAGCAAACACAAAATGGTTGGCCTCTAGATTCCTTTAGAAAGGCTATCCCTAAAAAAGGACTCGCTCTCTCAGAAGCTGAGCATTCAGAGACGGTTTTGTTTTTTTTCCATCCGACTAGGCGAGCTCATCGAAAACGAGGAGCTGAAAGAGAAGTGTCTTGGACCTCCAAAAAGCGCTTCGCCAACCGGGTCTTTGGCACATAGAAGCGAACGTTCCATTTGGGGATATCTCTTTTGAGGAATCACCATTCTGGGGGTTCCCTGAGAAAAGACACACCCTGGTGGCGCTCCCCAAGCCGGGCGGCGGTCACCGGCCCATTGCCGTCGGGGAGGTGCTGCGTCGTGTGGTGGGCAAGTGCTTGGCAGCTGAAGTGCGGGATCAAGCGTGGCAATACTTGGAGCCCCGGCAAATGGGAGTGGGGACACCTGCTGGTGCTGAAGCCGTGGTGCACACCGTGAGGCAGTGGGTTCGGCGCCATCGCAGGGACGCCGGCCGCGTCCTTGTCAAGTTGGATTTGGCAACGCCTTCAACGCGGTGTTGTCTGCGGTACGGGCCACTATGGGCTGATTTCACCTACGGCGTTCCTTCTTCCTTGTGGCTTGACGGGCAGGCAGTCCCTTCCCGACGAGGAGTCCAGCAAGGCGATCCTCTGGGCCCACTCTTCTTCTCCTTGGCGCTGGACGTAGCCGTGGACAGAGCTTTCCAACGCCTCGAGCGGGAGTCCGTGAGTTGCCTGGACCTTGCCGTGTTCTACTTGGACCCTGGCTGGGCCGGCGCCGGCTGTTGCGCGGGCCTGCTTGTTGCTCGCCGAGGAATTGGCCGGCATTGGCCTCCGCATCAACACTTCCAAGTCGGAGGCCGTGCCCACGGCGCCGTCCCTTCACGGCGGACAGGGCCACCAGCGCTTGTTCCCCAGTGGCGGGCCAGTGGCGACTTTGAACTCTTGGGGGTGCCGGTTGGTGCTGACGCTTTCTGCAGCCAGCGCACGGAACAACGCTGCGCGGATGCTGCGCCGCTGCTGGATAAGCTTGGGAGTTTGGACGACCCGGCTCTCCAGCTCCTCCGCCACCGCGCTGGGTTCTGCAAGGTTGCCTACTCGGCTCGGGCAGTCTCGCCGCACCAGCATGTGCCCGCCTTGGAGTGCGCCAAGTTTTTGTCAACTGCACTGGGCTACGAAGGGGCTTGGCGCCGGGCCACCCGTGGGGTTCTTCATGGCGGACTCGGTCTTCGCAGTGTTGCGAGGCATGCCCTTGGGGCCATGGGCCTGGCTGGGAGGCCGAGGGCCTGCCCGCTCAGGCAACTTTGCAACAAGCCTTGGAGGAGCTCAATGCCAACCTCTTGCCGGCTGCAAGGCTGCCGTGGCCATGCGAGGAGCGCCCTCGCCAGCAAGCTTCGCGCAAGCTCGATCGCGCGTGCCTTGATGCTGAGCTTGCCACCGCGGATGCGGCTACCAGAGCCCACCTTCGCCTGGTGACCTCCGATGGTGCGGGCGCGTGGCTCCGCGCTTTGCCCACCACTGACCCGGCTACGCGCTTCGGCCCGGAGTTCCGCATTGCGCTCCGGCGCCGCTTGCGCATTCCTGTCCAGGAGCAAGACACCCCTTGCGTCGCGTGCGGCCGGACTATGGATGCTTGGGGTGACCATGCTCGTCCCGCAGACATCCACCTGCCCCGTGGGCGGGAAGGGCAGCCTAGTGTGCTGGGACTTCGCTGTCACGTCTGGGCTGCAGGCCCAGGATTTGCACGGCGCACCTGGGCACCGAGGACCTATGCAGATCCAGCGGTTTGCAGTACGTGCCGGTGGTGCTGGAGGCGGAGTGTGGTTCCTGGGGGCCGGCTGCCAAAAAGGCTTTTGCCTGGCTCAGTCAATCTTGGGGGGCCGTGGAAGGCTTGTCGGGCGGGCGGGCGGCCGGCGGCGGGCGCATCTCTTTGTCCCCTCACCGGGAAAACGCGCGCGCGGTTGTCCGTCGCCTGGTGCTCTCTGGCCGCCGCTTGCTGCTGACGATGACCCTTTGTGATCGTCGGGAAGTCGCTGCACCTCCTGGGCGAGAGAGCCAGAGACGTGAAGCTTTTGTCCCCCTCTGACTCCTCTGATCTTCACGCTTGCCTTGTACAAGGCGGCGGTGCAGGTTTGGGATCGCGTCTTTGCTTGCCAGCATGAGCGGCTCTTTCCAATCACGAGAAGTTTGGAGTACAGAGTGGCAGTGGCCATGTTTCCTTTTAATCTCTTCATAGGCATCCATGCCCTCCGGCTGTCTGAGGGATGCTCGACTTGTGGCCGAATTCATCAGACGTAGGGTTTTTTTCGGCGACTCTTTGTGCCCAAGGAACCTCTTAGGGTGTGTCAAAGGGGTATCCTTTGGTGCAACTCGAGCCCATTGCGGGGCGTTTGGGTTTTCATGAGGCATGAATGGGGTAGTCCATGCCTGCTCTTTAGACTGGAGCACTCTTGGTACGTCGTTTTGATGTGAGTTTGATGTGTATTTGGCTTGTTTGGCCGGTACTTTTGCTTGGTTTAAGGGGGAACCCACGGAACCCACATGGACACCAACCATTTTGGGATTTGTTTTCATTTATCAGGCGCGGCAGACTTGCAAGTACTTGTTGATTTTCAACCCAAAAGAAACCCGTCCTGCACTTCTGTCTGCCTAATGTCTGTTTCACTGGCTATGGCCGGCGACGGTCGCCAGCCATGAAGGGTACGCGTTTTGCTCAAGCAGTCTACCTGTTTCGACTTTTTTGCGCATGAATGGGCCAACTGCTTCGGGAACCATTCGCACTGAGCGTAATCGAGGGATTTCCCCCGGAGGGAGAGGCCTTTTAGTCCTTCCTCGGAACTCTTGGCTAACGCAAAATGGATCTTTGGGCTCTCAAAGGCCTGTGGGGAACCCGGGTGCTCCATAAGCAGATCAAGTAGTGCAAGGCTTGCAAGATGCTATGTGGGCAAGCGCCCGTCCAAGTGGCATTCTGGCTCTTTCTTGGTTGTTTTTGAAGGCAAGCCAAACCATTCTGGCGGGTCCCTATCTTTGACGCATGCCCTGTCCGCTTCCATTTTTGTTGCCAGAGAGGATGACCGGAATTTGGGAAGCCGGGCTGGCATTGACCTACCCTCCCTCCAATCGTGGACGCTAACACGCGGGATGGTAAGACTACTGTCCTGGAGAATGCCACCGGAAGCCATGCTTCTGCCTACATGGGTTTTTAATTTTTGTGTAAAACCGCTAAGCATGATGATGAAGGTCCCACCTTATGTCCGGTTTGGGCATAAAGATTTACCCAGATTGCCAACTTCGGGAGCGTCACCCGAAAACAGAGCTCAGGATGGCATCGAAAAGGCCGTATGGCGCCTGGAACAAGGCACCCAAAGCGTGGGTGACAGTTCGCGCCGTGTTGCAGAGGAGCAAGGTTTTTGCGGGTGAGAACCTGTTTTTGGCGAGTTGGACCTGTTATTTCCGGGCTTGAGGTAAATGGGATGGGTTCCAAGGCCCTGACCACTTTCTGCAGGTCTCAACTGGGGGCCGGGTATGGGTGAGCAGTGCCCAACCCCCCCCCCCCCTATCCCCCTGGCGGCCAATGTAGAAGGGGATCCTACTGTGTTCAGAAGAATGTAATACACCGAAAAAGGAGACCCATGTAGAAGTTTTTGTTTTTTTAGGGTCGCCTTGTTGGTTGGTGGCCCTTTGAATAGTCAAAGGACGCCGACCCATTCTTCGGCAGCCCTTTGAAGACACCCCCCCCTATAAACCTTCTGAGATTCTCCACTTTATTCTGTGGGGAAGAACCATTTTACTCGAAACTAACAAGTTTTGATTTTTGTTGGCCAGTCCACATCGGAAGTGCTTCACCTCTTACCATCAGAGCCCAAAGGCCCAGTGCTCAGGTCTCTGAACAGGCCGATCGCTCGACTGCCCTTGTCGATCGTCACAGACTGGTTCAGAGCCACAGCAACGGGAGCCATTGCGACCAAATACCAAGTCTTAGAGACTATGAAGGACCATGAAGTGCTCTTTTGGGAGTGGTTTGAGCGAGACGTCAAAGGGAAACCAACTAAGGCCCAAAGCTTTTGCATGAGTTCCCTGGTTTGGGCAAAATGAACGATGCAATTTTTGTCGAACAAAAAATCAGGAAATGGATAAAAAGCTTCTCCCAAAGGAAAGTCTTCCGCCCCTCGTCGTCAGCTTTTCTGTTGCGCAGGTCTTCCGTGAGGACTTGGAGCAGCAGCCCTTTCTGGCGGCGGATCACGAGCTTCTGGTCCCAAAGGCGAGGAATCGAGGGGTTTTTGCTCGGCTCTGAACGAGGCAAATCAGCTTCTCATGTTTTGGGCCAGTGGAAAAAGACAAGTTGCAAATTGGGTGGCTTTTGGATGTATATATCTTCTTTGAGGACCCTGTCTTAAACGTTTACGATGGCGGGAAGCTCCGAACAACAAATGTCCAGAAGGGGGTTTTGGCTGTTCAACCATAATTCATCAGTGGCCCTGGGGTTGGGTGAGTCCAATTTCGGGGACTGATGATAGAATGAGCCGTGTACTGAGTGGTTTGGTCATCGAAGGGGGGGTGGTCTGGCAAGTTTGGTTGGCGCCTGGGGCAGATGGGAAGTATCTTGATTGGGTCGGGTGTTCACTGGGGATTGTCCCCCAGACGCGTACCTTACGTGTTAATGAAATCGAACAACATTACATTTTCAGTTTTCCCTTTGGTTTGGGACATGCTCCACAGGTCAAAGGGGCTGAGGCCGCCTCAGAGGGCAGGCTATGGTGACCTTCGAAGCCGGGAAAAGGGTCCGCGGGCTAAACTCCTACCCACGAAGCCCCAAGAGCCCATGAGGACGGACATCGGAAGTATGGGTGGTTTCCGTTCTTTCGGTTTGGGGGTGGGGAACGACTTTCCCACCAGACTGGGCTTTGTTTGAAGTTGTGTTTTACATTGTCCCTTGCAACCAGCCTGGAGTTTGGGTATAGGATCCGTGCCCAGTTGCATGTGCATGTCTCTGAGAGGCATGTGCGCCATGCCAAGAACTGCCTTCAGCTGGAGGGAAGCTTAGGAACTGAAAGGGGTGATGACAGATGCGGTGAAGTGGGTTCCTAACGGTGATGTTTGAGCAAGTGGTCTCTGACAGATGTTTGAGCTCCGACATTCCGCATGCGCGTTCGACCAGTGCCTTGTGATGGCGGTATCAAAGAATCAGCTGTACATTTACTACATGTGTATACACACGAACGTACATAAGCGTTCTTAGATTTGAGAGCACTAGTGCGAGACACCGGTTGGAGGCCATTGACAATCGGCACCAACCAATCTGCAAAACCGATAGCGCATGCACATGCCTTGTGACATATCGTCTATGATTATGTATAGGGAACCGGTAAACATCAATTGCATGCTGCTCCAAGAATTGAGGCGAACACATTTGTTTGCATCATGACTCACATGACTGGCGGGGCCCCAATTCATGTGTTTTTGTCTGATTCCCTGAGTTCCTGCGCTTGACAATTTCGGGGAAGACCATTCTGGTGGCAAATGAAGAGTATAACTTTGTTTGGCCAATTCTCTCAGGACACTGCAGGAGCACTGTTCTGAGGCAAAGGGTGCGCGTTGTAGGCCACCTTGGCGGACTCCAGGTTACAAGTGGCAGATGTTCTGTTCGGAAAGGACCAAAGCGGCGACCTAAGGTTGCATCACCTACTGAAAGACCTTTTGGTTTGGTAGGCTCGCCATTCAGAATAGAATCAACCCCCTCAAGAACATGACTGAAGATACAAGCACAACTACCAAAAGCATGTGGGCACGCATGAAAGACACGCAGTCTCATTTCCCGTCCTACCGTTCTTGTGTCACTGGTTGCAACTGAGATTGGAAGCGCGAGAAGCGCACCAAACAAGCGTGCTTTGCAACCGGTTTTTGCTGGTGAGGCCATCGAGGAGCATTTGATGACTTTGCAGTTCGACATGGGCTACACTATCGAGGCCCGATGTGGCTGTGGTATTCCTGGGTTCATTCATGGGAACCCCGGATGAAGTTAAACCTTTGGTTGATGTTGATGGGAGGCGGGGTGGGGGTTGACATTTCGGAGGGAACACTCTCCCCCCAATAATGGGAAAGGTTTATCACACCAGGGTCAACATTATTGTAGCTAGCGGTTCTCAACAGCAAAAATCTGATCAAACGGAGTTTCAACGAACTAATTCGGATGAGTCAAGTTTTTGTCGCAAAAGCATTAAGGGGAATCGAGGGAATGGCCCAGGTTTACTATGGATTGATTCCCCATTCACTCATCAGTCTCTTTAGGTATTGTTGAGTTAGACACAACTCATTTTCCCAGGCTTTGGGCCATGTTCGGGAATTTCTGAACAGAATTGGGCTTGACAGCTCCTCTGTTTCAGAGCCAGGCTGTGGACAGACAAAATCCTGCACCAGCTAACCGCAACAGGAGCCCTTCTTTAACCTTTAGCCGGGTGAGCTAGGGACCATGGGCTTCCCATCCCTCCCCTGCTGCAGCAATGGATCAGGTAGCCCTTTTCTTTGAATTGGTGGCTTGGGGATTCGAGGCCGCTGGATCTTGCACCCAAACCAACTAGAGGGAATCTGAAAATTGCGCCGCGTGCTTTGTCCGTTTCAGGTGGCTGAGGGTGGAGAAAGGGGGAGAGGGGGAAATGCATTTCCCAACATTTTTTTTGAGGGGCCTGGAAAGCCCATGAAGTGTTGTCAGAGGAAAACCTGCAGGGAAACGCTCCGTGGTCTGTTTGTTGAGGAAACCCCTAAATAAGTGGTTTTTCTGGGTTTCCCTCTAAAACAAACCCCAAAAAGGATGCCCTTCGCCGCATAAAAAGCCACATCCGCACGGGTCAATTTGGATGCGTACGGGTGCCACGTACTGGCGTCTTCCGTGAGGACGTGGAGATGGTGGTGGAGGCCATGGCACAAACGGGCAAAGAGCCCACCTTCTGCATGGGCAACGCCTGGGCCTCGGAAAAAAGGAGAGTGCTTGCAAGGAACCAAACCATGGGTTTTGGAGGCAAGTCTATAAAGGGAGCTATCCATGTCTCTGGGAGCCAAGAGTTTACCACGTTGGGTTTTGCTATTATGGACAATTAGTAGTGATACTTTGCGACGAATTGTGGTTGGCACCAATGGGTTAGGCCTCGTTCGGCGGGTTATATTGAACACCAAGCCTGAACCCCCCCCCCCCCCAACCTCACAATCCCTAAGTTGGCTGCTGGGTTGGATCTTCAACCCTGTTTTCCCAGTGGCCAGCATCAAGTTGAGCTTCTTTTGAAGGGCCAAACAGCCAACAAGCCCAATTTACCTCCCGCCCGCAGTGCTAGGTGGATGCAGCCCATGTTCCATCGTTTGATTAACCCAACCTAGATGCAGAAACCGAGGGGTGGTGCATTTCCCCAAGACGAAAACCGGGTATTCAAGAACCCCCATTCCCTCAAGCCCCCGCCTCCCCCCAAAATCTGGTGCCAAAAAGCAGACACTTTGGACATACTGAGTTCGCGAGTTCAGGAAAAAAGTACATGCGGTTTGTGGTACAGGACATGTTCAGACCAAGTGATGCAGCTGGATCTGGAACAGCCCTCGTAGGTAATTGGAGGGCGCTCTGGGAGGGTCTGATTGCGTGGTCTGCCCACCCCGCAGGGCCTTCTTTCTATACATGTCCCCTTCACACCAGTAGGGAGAAATGCAGGAAGCACTGCCCCCATCCTTCTCCCCAGGTTTTGCGAAGATGCATGACCCAGATACTGTGAGGGCCAAGCGATGCAACCACCGGATTGCTGGGAAGCCGGGAAGTTTCATGTGATTAAAAAGAATCCCATGCGATGCTGGTAATATCTTCAATGTTATGTTTGTTATGAGTGAGTTGGGCGTAACATGTTATTTCGGGCTTCAAGGTGCTCCAAAGATAGGTTACATTTGGCCCGTTTGCTCCCGACAAAAGTGGTGGGAATCCCCGTGCAGGTAGGGGATTTGTTGGTGTGGAAAACATCTTAGATCAAAGTTACTCGAGTTGCAGTCTAAGGGACATGACCCCAGGTGACCCCTGATCCGCAAATCCTTTAATGACAAAGCGGGATCGATCCCCAAGTTAAAGACCTACATCGTGGTGAGCTCGTTTTACCCCCGAAGCCTTTGAAGCGGATTGGTGGTTTCCCTTTTAACCGGGGGTTCAAATCCAAATCCAAACCAAGGGTCACCTGACATTTGCCGATAATATGGCGGCAATCGTGCTGAATCGTGCTGATGATTCACAAGCTGGAAGCAAGGGATCCCAACTCAAAAAGCATTCATGGGTGAGCTTGTGAGCTCGTCCTGACCCCAGATAAGGAGCAAGTGAAGCGCTTCACTTGCTGGAATGTCAGTCGAAAGTGTTTGACTTTTGGTTCTTACTTGGCTGTTCGGCCGTAGTAAGTGGTTAGCAACCTAGGTTATAACCTACTTGTAAGTCCCCCAAGAGGAGTTAGCCCGGTTGTAAGTAGCTTCAGACAGGTCATCAAGCATTTACTAACTTGGGCAAACACCCAATCAGGCTCTGGCCATGCTCCTGCGTGGCTTTTCATTTGTATGCCATGCGTATTGCAGCGGGGACCCGCAGTTGACAAGTTTATGGGGCGCCAGATTTGATTGGTTCCGATTGACTTTGGTGCATTGAAATGTCCAGGTAGGGGGCAAATGGGAAACCATCCCGAATCTTCAAAATCAATGGGCTCCGACCGCCGACCACCAATTAGCTCCCGCCCGCCACAAGCCGAGACTCCGTCAGGATAAGCCTTTGGCCATCTTGTCGGACAGGGTGCGCTTCTCAGATGCGCGCGTTGGCATTTTGCCTGCAATGCTTGTCGAGCAGAGCTCGGATGAGAGGCGAAGTTGGTAACAAGCTGATTGAAGGACCAGTTGGTTTGCCAGGTCATCGGTTTGCTTGTCGGCTAATCATCCCCGCAACGAAAGCAAACGCACATGCGGCTTCAGCGGGGCAAGCAAATGGTGAGTAGCTGCTTAACGACCGTGTAGCGAAGGCGCACGTCCTGTACGATTACTTCCCCCAACGCTTCGCTCAGGCGGGAAGGGACTGGGTCTATGGCCCCGCCTTCGAGCCACCATGGCACTGACCTCCAAAAGTGATGAATTCCCACTGAAAGGGGGGGTAAGCCCTTGCTCAACCAGGGGTTTAGGCTGTCCTACAGGCTGTAGGTTATTTGTCATGGTTGCTCAAGCGGTAATGCCAAGTCCGGGTGACTAGGCTAGGAGTCCGGGATCCTTCACAAGAAAATTGCAACAAGAACAACCGCAACCACAACGACAACAGAGGCAGCAGCAGCAACAACCGCAAGCCCAGCTGACTGAGTCGGGGTTCACCCGCCCTGGGGTTGTTGCCAGGTGACGAACCCGGCCATCGACCCATACCGGGAGTCCCTGGTCATGTCCACCGAGGTGTTTTTGGGAAGACAAGGCCCGCTGGGATTTTTGCGCCGAGGCATTTCGACTTATTTGGCATGTTCAGCTGGCCCAGCGCATTTCCAGACTTGGCAGACCCGGTTAGGTTTCTGGCTTTCTGGTGTGGCTATATTCTTCCGTGACTCAACGGGCTCGGGCTTTGCCCCGCTCCCCTCTGCCTGGATCCCGATGTACCAAGCATGCTAAAGATGAGGCAAATCGCAACGCGAGGCTTCAAGAGGCCTTCCATGAAGCCCGCCATTGGATCCCTTGGCAACCTTAGGGTTCCACGGCATGGCCGCCATGGCCCCTCGGGCCTTGGCCTTCCCTTTTGCACCTGCCAGTCTAAACGTCACTTGGGCCAATGGCTCATCTTGGGAGGTTCGGGAAATTCTTGGAGCCCTGCCTCAAGCTTGGATCCGGACCACATTCAGAGGAGTCGCCGCGCATGGCAGAGAAACTTCCACAGTCCGAAGCTGCAAGCGCGAAGGGTGCACATGAAGCCGGAGTTGACAGACCCGGCAACCCCAATGCTTGTCAGCCACTTAAGAAACACAACCAGCCAAAAAACCCAGATGTAAACATTCTGGCCACCTACTCCGTGGTAACTGGATCCGGCAATGTGGACCCATGAGAAACCCCGGAGTTTGCATCAGGCAACCTGATGGCCGAGAGCCCCACGTACTTTCAGAACAAGGCCAACACTCGCTTAATGAAGGCCAGCCGGGCACTGCACCGCACCCATTCCCGAGGTCTGCGTATGGAGTTGCTTGCGGGGATGTCGAGAATGCTAGGTTAAAAGGAACCCTGAAGAAGAAAACCTATGCTTAGACATGGTCGAGATTCCAGTTTCCTTTATCAAGGGGAAAGGCTTCAAGATGGAATAGGGTACCCCTTCCTACAAGATCGGAAGGCGCTTGCCAGGAACTGAGTTGAAACTGACCTCAAGAACCAGCGTGTTCATTGCGATAATCCTCGGGCTAACCACCAGTCTGGTTCTCAGAACCCTTCTAAGACCCCTTCTCTCACGTTGGGGGGAGGGAGGTTGTTCCACCTTTTTGGGGCTTGGACCCTGGGATCCGAGGTTTAGTTTGCAGAGGGTGGGGCAGTGAAAGGCTTGGGATGGACGAGCTGTGGGGAAGCCCCGCTCAACTCTTACTTGACTTGTCGGGCCCTTGGAACCGCACGCGGAGCTGTGCTATATTGAAATAGCTGGTTTTCAGGCTGACGGACCTCCAAGGGCAATGGGGGGGGGGGCGGGATTGTCCCTTCTTCAACTCCCAAAAGGCCTTCTTTGAAGCTTATCCTGGGTTTGTCCTGGGCGTGTATGGGCTTAGGCAGGGATAGCCCACCCCCCCCCATTGGCCCAGCTCCACTCAGGGTCCATGTAAGTGTGAATAAGTTTCGAGGCTCGCCGGCAGCCACAAAATGGATGTTGGACACGAGCGACCCCCGAGCTGCCATGGGAATCTCAGAGAAGAAAATGGCTGGAAGCCCCTTTTTGTTTGGCCCTTTTTCTAAGATCCAAGGAACCAATTATACAAACATGCAAGCAAGGTGCGTTAAACCAACCAAAAGCCGTGGTTGCCTGCAGTATGTAACGTTCCTGCTTTTTTTTGTGACGTTTGAAGTTAGTTTGTACTGTTCCTATGGTTTTCCCTGGGTTGGACAGGGGTCCTCACATTTCATTCCGGCTACGTAGAATCTGCCCTCCCCCCTTACATGGGCTTCTCTTCGGTGGTTTGAAGGCAAGCCCAAGAAAGGATATCGTTGACAAAAGGCACACAAGCTGATTGATGTCTGCAAAAGCTGGCGATCCGAATCTTCATGTGGGTGTTGTTTTTGAGGATACCCCTTTTGGTATGGTTTCAAAGGGGGACTTGTTGGGTCCGTAAAATAAAACACCCATTTTGCCAGATTGACTCGCCCTTCCTCAACGAGAGGCAGCTATACGTGCGGTCCCCACAGCTTTGCTTGGGGGGCTGAACTGACTTGCTTGCGTCCGGAGGGGCGGGACTCTAACAACGACGCAGACAGAGACACGCAGACACCCGACACGCAGACACACAGACAATCGAGACACACACACACACACCCCTCACATTCAGCCCCGGATTGAAACCTATTTTCTCTAAGTACTATATGGTTAAGGCTTGACGAATCCCTGAGGAAGCGTTGTTCTGCCTTGGACATGTCATGTGGAATAATTATTTTCCCTGGCTACCTACTACGACGGGAACCGGAAGCTCTGGACAAGGAATGACGACAACTCCTTGCCCTGGAGATGTTCTGACCAATTGGAATCGGGCTGCGATTTCGTCAGCTGGATGTGGTGACTGGTTGTCATCGGGGTCAAGAAGAGAACAGACAGCTTGCCATAAGTCTGCGCGGCAAATCTGAGACTTCGTTGGCCTTTGACACATGACCAAGCCTCAAGGGTGGATTGCGGAGATTTTCTTGGGTTCAGCCCCTTTTTTCAGGTTGCCATTTTTAAAGCTCATTTCTCTGGACATTTGGGGAGCCGAGCCCGATAGGGAGCTAAAGAGCACACGTGCCTCCAACACAATTGAGGAGGTATATATTGAACCAGAATTTGAACACCTGGTTTTTGGTGCACACAGCTGGACCATGGATCTTTGAATCATGCCCCCACTCAAAGAAATCAGGAAATACAGCTTGATACTGTGCCCTCTGGGAGTGACTTTGAGCATGAAGGTATGTTTTCGTCACGGGGGAGCACCTGATGGCATTCTGACTTCGAACATCCGAGGAACGGCCCAACACGGAGTGGCACACTTTCCCAAAGAACACCTTGCCCAATCCCGTCCCCTTACAAATGAATTGGAGGGGGTGACCCCGGGAGCTCTCCGCCGTCATTTCCCTTTTGCGAAAACTAGCAAATTGGAATTGGGCCCTCGAAAAGGGTGGGGGTGATGCCGCCGGAAACCTGAGAAGCCGCCCCACCCCCTCGCCGGGAAACAGCATGGCTTTGTCAAATTTCAAGCAGTCCATGGTCCATTTGCGGAGGACAGGGTGGGAGTCAGTAAATGCCCAAACAAATACTCGGGGACTTACTAATTTGTCCATGGCCTTTTGTGGAACACGAATTTTGACGCTGGCTGATGTGCGAAGCAGGGTTTCAGGGTAACCAGGGAATCCCCTTGAACATGACAACGCCGTAGTGATTGGGATTCCTCATCACATCCAAGCCGCAGTTGTTCAGTGGCACCCTCCCTTTGTTGTCCAAACATCGGAAGCGCCAAGCAACCCTAAAGACAAGGTTCAAATTATTTCCTGCTCGGGGTCAGATTTTGCGGGAACGGACCTGTCTGAGGCCATCAAGAACAGCGGGCTGCTGACAGTGCAGGTCAGCACGCGCTACGACTTCAGCAAGGGCCCGGGAGCGCTGGAAAAGGCCATCACAGCGATGGGTCAACTCCGCGGTGTGGCTTTTTGTGGGCCCCCCCTGGGCGAGGCACAAGGACGCCAGTGTTTAAAGGTCTGGTTTTGACAACATGGGTATGTGTCAAAGGAGGGATTTGGACAGGGGCCCAAAATGGCGGTATCGATGCTTGTTTCCCTTCAAGTCAGTTTGAGACCACGTACCGAGCCTCCAAGAGAAGTGACACACTCACACAAAAAGGCTGAGTGCAGGAACATGGTTGTGGTTGTTACCACGCGTTTTGGGATACCAAGGGAATCTCTTCAAAGTAATACTGTGGCCATGGGGGATGGATCCTTTGGCATCAACAAAGTTATTTTTCACAACTATGTGCTGGTTCCAAAGGGGGCATTGTAGCATTGAAGGGTTGGAAGTTTGAAATATTGAAGCTAGCCTATGGGTTAATGAACTATGTCTTAGAAATGGGACACTCGGCGACGCCAAGCACCAAACTTGCCACTTCGCAAATGAGGCCACATCGTCAACGAGCCTGGCAACTCCTGATATGCTCAATCGAAGTCATGCTGTCGGTAGAACCTTTTGAAACACAAATGGAGATGTGAGGTTCTGTCAAAGTTACCTGATTCGTCTATGAGTCTTTGTGGAGAATGGGGGGGACTCATCAATCTTCCCATGCACACTAGGGGAAAACCTGCAAATTGTGTTCACCGTGGCTCACTTATCATAAGGCCCTGGATAAGCTAAGGATCCCGGCGATGGAGCCTTTACCCGCACTCCATAGCCCCATAGGCGCAGGTCCATAGAGCCGGATTCCGACGCTAGGAAACCAAACCTGGTTGGCTCCTACGGGTAACAAGCTGCCAAGGGACAGCGCCCCCCCAAGTGAATTACAGCCAATGCGGAAATCCACTAGCTTTTATTTGGATCAATTTTTCAACTCCCGATTCTCCTGTGTTGGACACGTTTTCAAAGGGCACATATAAGGAACCCAGCTGGATCTCCAAAGTTTGCTTGTGCCTTTCCTGGCAAGGGCCGATGCTCAGTTTTCTCTTCGGTGATCGGTGGGTTGTTGGAGGTCAGGGCCTAGACGTGTTTTGGTTACCCACGTTAGTCTGGAGAGTGCCTGAACCAGGTCTCCCCTTTCTTACCTGTCCGCCTCGACCCCTCGACCCCTCGATCGATCGCAGGCGGTGTCGGACCTCTGCTACGAGGCCTCCAACGCCATTCGCAACGGCGCGGAGCTGATCGTTTTGTCCGACGTGCCACGGAACTCGGACTTCATGGGGCCCTCCGATGTGAAGGACGGCGAAAGGAAAAGAAAGACAAAAGACGAAAGCAGCGAAATGCGTGAAAGTGCCAAAGTGGGTGGTTGGGTGGTTGGTTGGTTGGCCGGCTGGTGGTTGGTTGTTCATTTCTCGTACTTGGCATCCGCCATTAGGACCACATGTGAAATAGAGTCAGAAATAGTCAGAACATGTTTTCTTCATCTGCCAGTTTTGGCTCATCTAGGTGTACCTTCTTGAGGGAACCCTTCCCAAAATGTTGATTTTCCATTGTATTCTTCCTTCAAAACCACCAAAAAAAAAACAGTGGCACCAACTCAAAACAACACATGCTCGTTCTGAAGGGGGTGGGGCCGAATCGAATTCCCAGGACTTGGGGGTGGAGGAGTCGGTGCTAGCCATCCCTCCGCTGCTGGCCGTGGGGGCGGTTCACCATTATCTCATCCAGCAGGGCCTGCGCACCCAGGCGGGACTCAGCTAACCCTGCGGCCATCTGCGGCCTGAGTTTCCTTTCGGTGGAATCCCCACCCCCTCAAAGATGGAATTGGGGAAGGCGTATTTGTAGGGTACCACTTGCAGTTTTGAGAAGATTCACAGAATGGAATCGGCCCACCTCCACCCCTCTCCCAAGGTAGAAGGTCCACTCAGCAGTTTTCCGAAGATACGGGGAAGATCCATGTCTAGTTCCATTTCCCCTTTCTCCCCTGCGCCCCCCTTTCCTCCAAAGTACGGCCTTGGAAGGGCGCAGGGTATGAAGCTCAACTTCTCGTGTCCATTTGCCGGGCCCCTCTGACTATTTCTTAGACAACCTCCTTTTCAATCCATGAGTTTTAGACAACCACTCTCAGACAATCCGGGTAGGTATATAATACACACCACCATTTGCCCTCCAAATGGGTCAAAGCTGTTTCTTGTTTATCTTGCTTGCATGGACAGTGGTTTTAGTTTTTAAGCCACTCGTTTTGAGCACCATTTCTAGCCACCATTTTTTATAGGCAACCACGTGTTTTAGAGGGAGCCAAAGTCTTGTTAGCGCTTCGGCGCCGATCGGAAGGCTTCGCTGGTGGTGAGCACGGGCCAGTGTTGGAGCACCCACCACTTCGCCGCTTTGATCGGCTACGGCGCCTCTGCGGTGTGCCCCTACCTGGTGCTGGCGCACATCCGGCGCCTCGGAACTCACCTCAAGTTCGCACAGGGCCTCTGTTGGCGCAGCTGGTTTACTGGGGGTGCGCCTCGGAACTCTGAACAAAGGGCTTCCTATATTGCCTTTGGTGGATTTAAACTTCCATTTGCTCAGGAATATGAACTATTTACCCTGCTGTTCTTAAGAGGCATCTACCGCTACAGTTGTTTTGTTCCAGGGCACTTTTTCTCTTTGTGGCGGGGTGATGTGTAAGGCGGAAATTTATTGAAGCGACCCCCGTGGAGAAGCGAAGCGCAGATTGGGCTACAGATTGGGTTGGAAGTCCCCAGTGAACAATTCCGGTGTATTTGTTTGTGTCTTTTTGCTTTTTGGGTGGAGGGGCAAATCCCTCAAATACTACCCGCTGATTTCGCGGATCCCTTTAAGTAAAGCAGATGGTTTTTGGATTTATCCTTCAAGGACCCCTGTTGAACGGCGAAGTCCACAAACAGCTCAGGAAGATGAGGTGCAGTGCACATATCCAGCATGGTCATCGTATGGACATAGATTTTTGCCTCCTGCTTCGGATAGTAAGGAAACAAGTCCATTTCCAGCAAAGCTAGGGGCTGACGATCTTTTGCTCAAATGGGACACCCGATTTTTTGTTTGGGTAAACCTCAGCTTTCAAACTTTTGCAAGGATCAAAGATTGCAAGTTTGTAGCCACCTCAAGGGCTTCCAACTAAATATGGGGCTTCGACGTGGTGTGGTCGGGGTCTTTCAGTTTGGTCAGATGGCTTCCATCTGAGGTTGTGCCAACTCGAAGGGAACCTCCATTTGAATGAAAAGCAACACCCGGAACGGGGTAGTCTCAAAACCACATGCACGCATCAACAGTTTGGGAGAACCGCCCATTCAGTTTCCAGAGTACGCTAACCGAGCCTGCCTGTAGCAATTTTTCCGCCCCCCCCCCCCCCCCCCCTCCCCCCCTCGGTCAGTTTCTCCCAAAGGTTTTTGGCTTGGGCGCCAAGTTGTTGGACATTTCGCTCTTGCAGCCGTCTCACTTCCGGTTCTGCTGTTCCCCAATAGCAACTGCTATTGGGTTTTAGCCAATCTTAGGTCTGGGGTGGACAGCTCTGGATGGTTCCGGAAAGTGCCCGAAAATTGGTCGATGTTGGGGATGCTTTTCCTGGAGCCTGAAACAACCCTGTCACTTGAAGGGGTAGTTATTGCTTGCTTTGGACAATCCATCTAAACATTGTTGTTTATGCCCCAGTGATGTTCACCCGGTTTGGGAGTCAGGAAGTGGCACGCCACCGACAAGGGCAAGGCCAAGGCTGATGGACAAACTGTGGAGGAGGGGGTCAAGAAAGGTAAAAGGGAACAAGCAATAAAAGTAACATGGAAGTTAACAAGGTAATCATAAGACAGAGCCAAACGTGCGCTCAACAAAAACAGGGTTGGGCGTGGAAAAACAAAAGGAACTGTCACAGACGGGAAAGGGGGGCTATACCGTGTTAAACCCAAGGCCGCAAGTTAGGGGCTTGTCCTTGGCTTACCCCAGGCAAATCCAGGGTTACAGATGGGTGCGAAAGGAACACCGAAAGGAACACCGAAAGGTCCCCTAAAAAAGACACCCAAATGCCAAGATGGCTCGCAGCTTTTTCTTCAGCCATATGAGGGGCTGAATGATTACACACACACAGAGGCACACGCAGACACATGTTTCTCTGAGCATGCCTTGATATTCCTCTAAGCGCAAAAGGGCCCGTTCTATTTGTTTAGGCCGTCCTGCCTCATGCCGTGGATCGATCAATCCTGCAACAGATGGGATGGATAAACCCACATGCTTTGTGGGATGAGCCACCAATCCGGACTGGTGCGCGCCGTTTGTTGTTTTTCCATTTACCCCCAAGTGAAATTGCGTGTGTGTATTGGAAATTATCTTAGACCCAAAGAATCCTGCGCCTATTAGGATGAAGCCCTAGATTAACCACCTATATACCCCCATCCAAGAAGTAGCACCTGTTGATCCGTGGCTAAATTCGAGTCGCGAGGAGGTGCAGGAGAACTACAAGCGGGCCATCAACGCGGGCCTCAAGCTGCTGTACGAAAGTGGAGTCACATGATTTGGGGCTTGGGAAACGTACATCAGGGTGAAAGCAGATGGCACAAATTTCTTCCATTTTTGCTAGTCCCCCGTACTTAACGTAATTATGACAATGGATGGCATAATTCCCTTAATTGGTAACTGTGGGGAATGAACAAGAAAGGGGGGTGGTTAATGGGAAGTGTGCCGTCTACTTTCACCAAGCTCTAAACTGTAAAGACAGCAATTAAAGATGAACGATCGGAACATGAACTACTTGTTTTGAAGGGTGTGCAGGGCGGAGAACCAAAAACACGCACCACTTCCTAGGACGAGGCATTTTCTTTATCGAAACAATGTGTAAGGGGGATAGCAAACTGCCCCCTTGCAAGCTCTTGTGGCCATGGTAGCGGCTTAGCTATCTCCCGGAGCATCCCCGCACATGTTCGTTTTTTTGGAGGGGGGAGGGGTTGCTTTTGCAAATCAGTTGCCAACCAAAACCGCGGTTCTTTCTCGCAAATATGGAGGTTCACAGGCCTTTCCGAAATTCCATGGATATGTTGATCAAGTTTGCCAATTTTGGGTCAACGTTGGAACCCTGTCCTGTCGGTCTGTGCCATTGCTCAAGAGCTCACCTATAGTAAGACGAGCTCACCCATGATGTAGGTCCGCTGCTCAGGCGATCCCTTTTGTTGAATGATAGGAATCCGTTCGATTTCCCACAGCTGATGCTTGTCGCCTCAAGCGCGGCGGGTACCCGCTCATGTTAGCTAAACTATCCAATGTGGATGCCAGGTTTGCATACAACACCATGGTTGAAATACAAGCCAGTAAGGTGAATAAGGATGCGCCTAGAGGCACGGGCTTTACCATGGTTCCCGCTTGCCTTGAAAGTGGTTTCGCGTTTTTCTTCCCATGGGATGCGTTCAGAAACACAACAATAAGCGAACACTTGCCGCTCTTCCATCTTCCTGAGGTGTTCAATGTGGGTTTGTAAACCCCCCCTCCAAGATGCCTTTATATCAATCTTTAAGCTGTCAGCCTTCCGAACACTGACTGTACCCCTGCGAACTATCCCCTTTCGGCATAGCCTGAGGAAGATCATGTCCAAGATGGGCATCTCGGTCCTGGAGTCCTACCGTGGGGCTCAGATCTTCCAGTGCATCGGCCTCGACCAGAAGGTCATTGACCGGGCCTTCACAGGCGCGGCACTGAGCCCGGCGTGATAATCAGGGCCTAAATACTTCAGCATGCATTTGTGGCTTTAGGGGAAATCTGGTAGTCGTTATTTTGCCCCCTCATGTTGCTCCCTTTTTTCAACAGCTGAACGCTTTGCGGTGTCTGCCCAGATGGGCTCTGGGGTGGGTGTGAGCAGCTTTCAGGGAGGGTTCCGGGAGGGTTCCAGCTTCAGACCTCAAGTGAGGTTTGTAAACCTTCATGCAGGTTCCTTAGCCCTCATTCACCCAGATAGCCCTGTCTAAGGGTGCAGTAGGCTTTCAAAGAGTGCTTTTTGACTTGCGGGTTTGTGCATGGCTACGGCTCAAAGATCGCGTCCACTGCCCTTACAAACCAATGTGCGCAGGAGAACGTGGGGAGCCCTTCATATAGTGGGTGGCTGCATGTTATCCCATCAAACCGTTTTGGGTGGTTAGGGCTACTCGAACCAGAACCTTGAGGGAAACATGAAGACATCCTTTTCATGTGTATCCCCCATCATGGTTGGGACACCCCATTCTCATCGGTAGTGTAGCTGGTATAGGAATCCTGCTTTGGTCCTCTTCCCCAGTTGGACTTTCTATACTTTGTCGGACGTTCAGGCCCAGTGGGATATATCAAGGCTTTGAGCCAATCCAGTGGATCGGATGTGGGCACAGGGATCCCTACATTTCGTTTTTTGAGCCGGGAACTAGCATCACCTTTTGGACCAAGTTTATGTGACATTCCTCTGGATTGGAACATGTAGGGATCCCTGGCTGAAGCAATTGTTCATTGGTATCTCTCACGACCTTAAACCTCACCTTTTCGAAAAGTATCAGTTTTTGTCGGATAAAAGCTGAAGTTTGTGCAGTTCTTCCGAACATGTCAAATCCATCGAGGCACGCCCTGCAGCGCTGGGGGCTTGAGCTTCACGGACATCGCCAACGAGTCCATGATGTTCCATCGCCGCGCCTTCCCCCAACTCGACGAGGCGGATGAAAACGGATTAAACGGCTGGCCGGGGCAAAAGCGGGGGGGAATGGGGGGCTGGGGAGTTCGGATTTGGTGGTTGGTTGTTGCTTCTTTTTCCTTGGTCTGTTTGACAAGCAAACAAAGAGTCTTATTTCACAGCTCCCCGTTTTGCGGTCCTCAAATTTCCCTCCCTTTCAGGACCTGCTCTTTCGTGGAACCGACTACGGTTGGCCACTTGCATCAGAAAAAGGACCTCGCCATCCCTTCGCCATGTATCAGGGCTCCCCTTGTGGGTCGCTTACACATCATCTTTTGGTTGCCGTTTGGTTGTCGAGTTGTGTTGCTTTGGCGGGTGCAAGTTGGACCTCTCAGAAGTTAATTGTTTAGTATGCGTCGGTTTTTTCCTTGCAGACGTCAAGGCCACCCAATTCTGATCTTGAACTTCTGCCAACAAAAGTTTAGCAGGAGCCCACAAGATGAACAAGTCTCTCCCCGACCCCAAAACAAAGACAGGCAGGGATCTCCGTTGCAGTTTGTGAAAAGCAGCTTCGCCCCCTGTGGAAAGGGCAACCACCATGCCAGTGCAGGGCCTTCCAATTCACACGGGCAGGATCCCATGGGCGGAGAGTACGAACCAACCCTTAGCACAATCCTGGCTTCGATTTCCGTTCGGATCAGGCGCCGGCTGCGGAGAAGTTGGAGTTCGCGGGCTGGTACAAGTATATCAAGGCGCTGCGATGGTTGATTGCACTTGGCTTTGTGCCACATCAAATGCGGTGCGGCGAGCACCATGCTGTTGCTTCCGTTTGTGGTGATGTTTAATTGTAGGTTGGATTCAGTGTATAAACGTCTCTGTTTTTTTCATGTTTGCATTGTTCGTTGTTTGTTTTTCCGGTTTGTGGCATGTGGGAATCAATATCAAAACGGGGAACCCCCAAAAGAGGGCCTTCAAAACCACGTCAAACCCGGTACTTTCCTTCAAACGAACACAGACGCAATTGTCCGACCGAAGGCCAAGGGGGAGTTCCACATGAACAACCCTGACATGGCCCGGGCCTTGCACAAGGCGGTGCAAAACAAAGAGCCCTTGGCCTACGAGGAGCGTGTAACCGAGTAGCGCATCGAGTTTTGGCCCAGGATCTTCGAACTCGGGCCATCAGTTGAAACGGGTGGTCAGCAAGGGGTCTAAAGAACAAGTGTCAAGGCTACGTTTGGACGCGTGAGCAACTGAGAAGACGCACTCCCTGAGTTCCGGTACTTCTATACTTTTGGGGAGCCAGTTTTAGTTGTAACTCAACAGTTCAGACTGTTTTTGGCCAATGCACTCAGGAAAGGAGTTGTTCACATTTGCGCAACTGACGCTATTATTCATAACCTGCTGAGTTAACGTCTGCTGTTTGGAAGGAAATGGGGGAATAGAACCCCCAGATTCCCTGCAACAATTTTAGGGCCAACCCGATTGGTCCATGCCGTCATTTTGTTTGCGCTAGAAGTGCATATGGAACCCCGGACATGGGGAAGACCTAAAGGTGGCCCTATGCTCGGTTGATGTTTAGTACCATCTGAGACAACTAATCTCCTCCCCCTATTACTGAATGACCCCCATTAATAATAAATGCAAATCCGGGGCCCGAGACCAGATTTCCACTCCACACAATTGATTTTCCATTGCGCCAATACTAAACCAATACTAAAGTCTTGGAATCCTTATTAGGGGGCACCTTTAGCAAGCTTCCAGCCTCACTTTTCAAAAGATGGGTTCCTCAATTCCCCAAAAGGTTGCTTCCCCAAAAGCTGGCTTCTCAAAAGGTTGGGTTCTTTTGGTGGGTTCCCCAAAAGGTTGTTCTTGACTCTGTTGTCCCTGGCCGTCCCTGACTCCCTGGCTGGCTGCGTTTGTCACCTGGCTGCGGTCTGTCTGGTCTGGCTGCCTGGGCAGAGCTCTGTCCTGGGTTTGCCCCAACAAACTACGAAACATCCTTTCTGCCTGGCTGTCCCTCTTTTTGTAGGGGTTATGGGGACCCAAACCACACTTAGTCCGCAAACATGTCCCCAAGAGCTGTCTAGCTGCGACTGTCTCTCTCCCGTAATTACATGCTGGCTAATTAACCTGCCTGGCTGCAAACAAACAACCAGTAAACTGAAAACAAATAGAATGATACATCAAATTTCCTTATTAAACCGCTTCCTCGCGGAGCTTACAATTCAATCCATTTCCTCCAAATCCTATGTGAACCCTCACATTGTCGGAAAAGCAGAAAAACCCAACCCCAAAAACCCCAATTAAAAAAATACATTTTTGGGGGGATTTATTTATAATAGGGGGGAGCGTATTTATTAATAGGGGAAAGATATTATTTTCCTAAAAAGTGTCTATGAAGTCCTAGGTTGAGGATTGAACACTGACCATCCGGGTTTCAACCCTGTCGCCCAGAGGAGTACCGGCGCCAGATCATGGACGGCCGCCCCATCACGGCCATCCGTGATCTTTTGGACTTCTCCTCGGATCGCCAGCCGGTGCCGCTGCAAGAGGTGGAGGATTGCGACCAAGCGAAAGCGGTTTCAGTTTTTGGTCGCACCTTCCTTTATATTGAGGCTCGGTAGTGGGTTGGGAAGGGGGAACCACCAGGAAACCTATCATTATTGGGGATCCTGTTTTGAGACAGGATGGTCGCTTCCCTATTTGAGTGTGTCTCTGAGGGAGGTTTTTTTTGCAGTCGTTTCCCTGCGCAGGCACCCCCAAGCGGGTACCCTCGCAAAAGATCCCCTGTTTGGTATTTTCACAGGCCCAGTTGCCTGGGGCCCCTTTGCTTTCCCCCTTAGGTTGTTCACCCCGCATCCGACCCCTGCAGCCTTGAAACCGGAGACTGGCTGCTCCCCTGCAGGACGCCGTGTCCATTTGCAGCCGCTTCGTGACGGGCGGCATGTCTTTCGGCCGAACCGGCTCAGCGAAGGGGTTTGCTCAGTCCTCCTCAGTGACCAGCTGGCCGCGTTGCTTTTCCCATTCCGAGTGCGATGGAGGGAGGATGGGGGAGGGGAGGAACATGCAGTGTTTCTAAATCTGTTTTGATGTTTACGTAATTGGTTTTTGGCGAGTGGCTGGGCTGGCGAGCTTCACGTCCAGCGTAAGAACTCCTTTGGAGTTGTTTCGCGGCTTTCCGTGCTTGGTCTATTCGCCAAGGCCCCAAAAGCTGCACTTCTTGTTCCATGTGTTGGCAATGGGTCACAACCCAACCAAGCCGCAGGTAGGAGGTTTTTCTTACCCCCTGTAGGTTGCAAGGTATAGAACAACGGCGGACGCCAACCTTTTCATTGGCGTGGTGGGTTTTGAGACCTCCTCCATGGAAGCGCTCATGGCTAAAACATCGTCCATTGAGAACTATCCGCCGCAAACTTTGAACAAATCACAATATAATGGCAATCGATCAGCAAAAACAAATACACATGTTATTTGTTCATCAAAGTGCCTAGCAAAGCCCAAACTCCCCGCGCCGCCCGAGGTCGTTGGGCGCCTTGTCGCGAGAGGCCCACGAAGTCATCGCCCTGGGCATGAACCGCGTGGGGGGGATGAGCAACAGCGGGGAGGGCGGTGAGGACCCTTTGCGCTACGCGCCGATCCAGGAGCCCGCATGGGAGTACCGGGCACCCATTAAACACTCCTACATGCTTAAGTGTATGTGTGATTTTTGCCTGTTGACACTGTAGGGAATCTATCAATACTGAAAATATGTTGCTCTTTCTCCACGGGACTTACATAATAAGCAAATGGAGAAGAAGAAACATTAAATTGTGGGAGCCCTGAAATTTCATAGTTGTGGGGTAGACTGGAGCGTGGAAGTGGGGGAATGTCATCTCATTGTTTTTATATGTTTTTTGGGGGGTGCGCTGGACAAATGGAATTGGCAGACCCCCCCTTTGCTCCATGTCAGGTAGGGATGCCTTGGGCCTGAGGCAACCATTTGCAAAGGTGGGGACCCCAAAGAGCAACCTCCTATGAAGAGACCTGCTCGAAAAGACACATGTTGCTTGGGTCCCAGGCAGCTTGTGAGTTTCAGATGGCCCCTGCCATGGTCTCTGAGCTTCACTGCAAAGAAGAGAAATGACGTCATGTCTCACTAATGAACTTTACTTCTTGATTCTACTGTTGTACGAATCAAGACCATATTGTTTTTTGTTTGTCTTTTTTTCTTCTGCGAGGACGTGGACGAGGATGGCAACTCGCAATCCTTTCCCCACCTCAAGGGCGGTGGCCTTGGCATGTTGCTTGAACAAACGGTCCAACTGTTTTGCCTCGTAAAGTGAAGATGTGGCCTTGGGGTAGTCAACAAATCGAACCCCGGCCGGCCTGGTGGCAAGTGGGCCCATCCAAGCGCCACGGATAGCTGACTAGTTGGAAAGCCCGAGTTTACCAGATAGGGGGGGGGGTAAGCTTCTGCAAGCTCAGGTGAGCCACCCCCTTACCCCACCCAACCAAGGGCCTTGAGCATTGAGCAGCTTGTGTCGAGGTCTGAGGAACGGGGATTCGGCCACCTCGGCGACGAAGCAGGCAGGTTGTGCCACGGATTTTGGGGGAGGGTTCAATTGTGGTTGACGTCCTAAATGAGGCTTGAACGCAGGAAATCAACGATTTCTGGGTTTTCGCCTTCCTTGAGAATCAGACAACAGAACCTTGGCTGCAATGGTCGGCCATCGTGCTGCAGGTGGCGTCGGGTCGCTTTGGCGTGACTGCAGCGTACCTGCGAAGTCGGGGAGCTTAGATTTGTTGCGGCTGCATCTCAACACATTTTCAGACCAACCGCCTATCTTTGTGACTGTTGGCCTTTTGGTGTTCCTTTGTTTTCCCTTCAAGCAGCAAACAGTGACGCAGAGCAGCATCTCTTGCCAGACTCACTCAGCATCATCCTCTGGCGGATGGGGCCCATGAGGAAATCCATGAGGAAACCCATGAGGAAACCCATGAGGAAATCGAAGCCATTTGAGGGGGCCCTAAAAAGACACCCGCATGAGCTCCTTGTGTGCCACAGGCCATGACAAGCCCCAAGCTAAAATTGTTGTTGTTAGACGGGGAGCCCTTTTTTGGAATTGGGGAAGCCGAAAGGATGCCCCCGTACCTTGTATTGTGTAATGGTTGTTATAGGTTCCGTCAAGGATAACTACGCGCTCCAACGCGCCCTTGCCATAATTGTCCTTCCCACGCAAACTCGGGGTGCAAGGACACCAACCATTTTGGGGTTTCCGGCCTTTTGAGCCAAACCCCCAAAACTGGAGACGTCAAGGGGTACCTACTTCAGGGCCACGTGGCGGAGTCTTCAGGTTCCAGGTTGGGCACCTGCCAAGGCGCTAAGCAGCTCGAGATCAAGACCCTTGGCTCTGAACTTTGGGTTTGCTTTGGCGAAGAGGCCGGCCCTCAGACACCCGACACAGGGAGCTTAGCCTTTGGACTGTGCTGTCCTCGCTCCCCGACTTCCTGGACTGCATAGCTTTGGGAGGATCATTTCAGTGGAAACGGCAACTTGAGACTTTGTGTTTGCCAATTTACTTGTCTCTTCTAGAGTTTCCTGGACTCTAGACGCTTAGGAAGGCCATTTTAGTACTAACCATCAAGCATAAAGTGTTTGTTTGCCCATGTACTCCGTGAGTTGCCTCTGGAATTATCTTTTCTAACTTGTTCTTTTGCGACAAGCAAAGCAGGGTTGAACTGCGGGTGCAGGAAACCGCTCAAAGGCACAATTTTTCAGTGCCCGAGGAGAACCCCAAGCTTCCAACAGTGGCCTTTCTCGCAGTTTTGCTACACGGAGCTGCGGGCTTGGAGCGAGTCCCGTGCCAAACTTAAGAGATGTGGTTGGAACAGAGGCTTTTAGCAACAGATCTAGGCAAGAAGCAATCTCAAGGGAAACATGTGAACATATCTGCCAAGATCTCGCGTTTCGGACAGAATGTTTGCTTCTCCCCATCCCCTTGGAAAAAAAAAAACTTGGGAGGGTGGGCGAACCCTGGAATTCCATTCTGTTTTCCTGTTTATGGGGAAGACTGCACAAATAAAATTGGGGGACCCGTTGCCCTTCGGATTGACCCCGGACCTTTTCACACGGGCAATGACGAAGGCGGAAGCCCCACAATAAGTGCTAGAACTGCTTTTTGCATGTGGTCAGTTGGACCATAGGTTGGGCACTTTTTGTTTGGGGCCTCAGTCGGTCGTTGCTTATGCCAGTGTTGACTCCTGCAAATGAAGCTGGGACCCAAAGAAACACCCGCACCCCCAGAACCTAAAACCCCCAAGACCCCCTTCCCTCCCTCCCAACACCTTTCAGCCACCACGAGTTGTTTGCTTCATGTAGGGATTTGCGGATGGCTGAGGATTGCCCAGGGTGCCAAGCCGGGGGAGGGAGGCCAACTTCCAGGGCCCAAGGCCGGGGGTTCGCTCGCAGGGGTTTGCCACCCTGCCTTTAGAATCGCCCCAAAGGGGTACCCTTAAAACACGACACGCCCACATGATCCCACATGTGTATGTACATATGTATATACATAATATATCGTATATACATGTATATATATATATAGGTTATGAAGCGGGAACTCGTTTGCCCTCATACAACCCGAAAGAATGCCCAGGAATTGAAGAAAGCAGGAGCATGTATTGGATACATGGAGGAGGCCGCTCTCGCAATTCCCTCACTTGGGTGTTGGGGTTTTGGTTGTGACTCAGGTGTTCAGTAGCCGAACAGGTGCCTCTTTTCAGGAGGTTAACCGAGTTAGTTCCGAACCCGCTACAAACACGGATCAACCTCGCAACGAGGGTTTGCAATCTCGCCAGGGATGCAAGGTTCTTTTCATGGGGAGACCTTACTTCGGGTTTGGTCGAATAAAGTTTACCCAATAACCACAATGCCAACTGGATCACGACGGAAATCCATACTTTGACCTTGGATGGTTTTCAGGGGCGGCTTTTTGTCCCATACAGTGAGTCACCTTGGTAGTGGTGATGAGTTTACCCAGCCGCTCATAGACCCAGGGTTCGGCCCTAAGGTTCTAGGGACACCCCTCAAATAGCTTCTTCTCCGAAGAGCCGAGCCATCAGGAGCCTTGGGGTAAGGGGAAACAACACGGAAACCCAGCTCCATGCCGCAGGTGGACGAGTACATCGCCCGACTGCGAAACAGCGCCACTGCCCCAGAGCCCCGAGAGCCACCAAAGAGGGCGGCATTACAGAAGCGGTCGGAGTTGATCAATCCCACATGCAAAAGACAGGGGCTTCGAGGGCTTCTTTGTGCCTCTCACCAAGTTTGGTGCAGTGCCTCGGGGGGCTTCTCGGGGGCCTTTTGGGATTCGCCTTCCGAGGGTTTGGGTGCGCCATTTTGGAAGGCATGTCAAAGGTACCGAAAATTACCAAACAAGGGGGAGGAAGATCCGGTGGAATTCGCGAAAAACTGAGCCCACTCTACCAGAGCGGCCATGTCAATATAAGAACATATCTCAAGACTCCTGGAAATTCATTGGACTAACTGCTCAACCAGGAGATCCAAATCTATGCGGACAAATTACCAAGCAAATACGCTGCTTGGATAGGTGCCTGGAGTGGAGCTCATCTCGCCCCCGCCGCACCACGACATTTATTCCATCGAGGAGGGATGGGGCTTCGTGGCCTTGACGTGGGACTCAAGAGAGGTTTTGCTCGGGGCTTTCTGTATTAAAGCCCCGGATTTCGTAAACCCCTGGTTGGGTAATAGTGGTCCCCGTTGGGAATTCTTCACTTTGGCTGGTGACTCCCCCCCCCCAACAACAGCCTGTCTGCCCCATCCCGACAACAATCATCGAAACGCATGTTGGGATCAAGTTCTTGGAAGCACAGTGTTCCTTCGGGTGTTTGGTGTTTGTTTGCCTCAGGTTTGGCTTTGCAGATTTCTCTTTGGCCCTCTTGGGGGTCTTGGTTGGCTTTCTTTGACATAACTAATTTGCCGCTGGCTCCCCTTTGCATTATCGTTTGCATGTGGCATTCCTTTGGCTTCGCTTTGGTTCTCTTGCGTGGCTTGCACGTGGCTTGCACACGGCCAACTCCTGGAGTAGCCGCCAGAAGGCACGGCTTCGCCCCCGAAACTTAAACTGTCTTGACATTTAGGGTAGACTTAGACTACTTATGCAGCATCAGATGTGGACCCATATGAGGCTTGAATTAGGTGCAACGATTCCCTGTCAAACCATGCTCTGACCAGCCCGGAGTTCCTGTTGTTTTTGGAATGTACTTCGAGTTTGGCAGGGCCCGCCCTGTTTTTGACCTCCATTTTGCATCAATTTGTTGTATATAGGCCCAAGCAAAAACACATTGGCGGTCGAAATTCAGTATTATGCTTTGCCCCTCCACGTCCTTTGGGGGGGGACAATTCGTTGAGGGGCCCTTGTTTATTTGTTGGGCGAATGGGGCATAATCTGCAAAGAGAGGGACTTGGCCTCATGATTTCCAGTTCGGCGTGCGTAGGACTCAAATAGGGATTCGTGTTCCTTTTGTGTTCCTTTTGTGTTCCTTTTGTGTTCCTTTTGGGTTCCCTGAAGCCGAGCTGATCAGAGTACCGAGCCAGCGCACACATGGGATTGCATTTGTTCAGCTCGAGTGGCTTTGGCAGGACCTGGCACAGCTCATTTTCGATCTGCACCAGGCAAAAGCAAAAGCAGCTGAAGCCACGGGAGGAAAGGGGCATGGTGGTGGAGAACTCGGTTTTAGGGTTGCGTTCTACAATGGCAAGGGGAATCCCATTTGATAGAGCAACAAGTCCTTGGATTGTCTGCGATACCCGGAGAATCGCATGTCGATTGACATAGTCGTAGGCACTTTTCACTGCGTCACGGAAAGGGTCACTTGCCACCATGACAAGGAATCGGGGCGGGCCGGAGGGTCATGGGAGGGGGTGTTACCTATTCAAGCCTGTAGTAAGGCGCTTGTCATTGGCTTCTTGCAATCGTACCGTATCCAGGGATAGCTCCTGCCGTGCTTGGTCCTTGGGAAGAGGGCTAGTCAAAATTGGCAGCTTCTCAAATGGTGAAAAAGGGTCCGACCCCAAGAGTATGGCAGCCTTCGAAACACTCACGTGAGCTTCCATCATTGTTGGAAAGAGGGTGGCCCAAACCTTAAGCCCCTTCTTCTTTCCCTTAGGGGCTTTCACCTCCTTCAAATCAACGGAACAACGGGCGCCCCGTGTTTTTTGTTGCGGGAGATCCACTGGGTCTGAGACTTTTTGCCAGGTGAGCCCCGAGGCGAAGGTCTCGGTGAAGCTGGTGGCCTCTGCGGGCATCGGCACCATCGCCGCAGGGGTGGCCAAGGCTATTGGGGACGGATCTCGGGCGCTCGTTTGAGGCCAGCCTTTGGCTTGGAAGCAGTCGCCATGTCAAGGGTTCCGACTCCTAGTTTGAGATGAGCTGCATCCGGGTTTCCCACTGACTTCTTGTTTGCACAGGGCCTTGGGCTGCATCCCAACCACAAGCAGTCGCCATGGCCCATTTTCGGAAGACGATCATGTTAGTGGTGGTTGACCTGGTCTGGAGTTCCATCATTCGCTGTTGTTTCTTGAACGCTCTTGGTTGGGCCTTTGACCTTTCAGCATATTGTTTACCAGTTTGGTCCAATGTGAACCTTCCAATCCGCCAGCCAAACGCCACCCACTTAAATCGCAGCTGAAAGCTGGACTTGTTCAGAGGGCAGTAGCCATGCGACTTTCGACTTTCCGTGAGATGTCTATTTAGGACAAACTTATGGCACCTTACGCCTCGCCCCTTCTTGGGCCGTTTTTCTTTTTCACCGTTGAGGCCAGGTTGATTCCCTCAGGACCGCAAACTCATGAAGGTGTCTTTCTGCAATTCCTGCGTTACTTTGATAATTTTGGCAGGCCAATTTTAGTGTCGAACAAATTGTTCGGACTTTTTCTGGCCAGCCTACTCAGGAAGTGAGTTTCTCGCCTAAATTCGCTGCGACTTGCTTACTTGCCTGCCAGGCAAACGCTGATGTCATCCAGATCTCCGGGCACGATGGCAAAGAACTTAGCTGGTAGACGTCCGAAGCATGGTTGCCCCTTTTGTAAATCTATATCTATATATATATATATATATCTATCTATCTATTTATCTATCTATCTATCTAATCTAATATAATCTAATCTAATCTAATCTATCTATCTAATCTAATCTAATCTAATCTTATCTTATCTTATCTATCTATCTATCTATCTATCTATCTATCTATCTATCTAATCTAATCTAATCTAATCTAATCTAATCTAATCTAATCTAATCTAATCTAATCTAATCTAATCTAATCGATCTATCTATCTACCACTATGAATAGAACGAGGTGGTTGCCCTTCCCCAAACACATACGGATCTCAGAGCTGCCACGGTCAGCTGGCTTTACATCCGGCGATATGCGCACGTCTGAGGCGGAACCGGCGCGTCTCCCTTGAGCAACTTGGTCGGCCCTTCGGGCCTCCGGGGGGTTGATCCACGCCGGGACCTGGAACGGCGTAGGAGTCAGCTGCTTTGAACTTTGAACACGGCCAACCTCCCGGTTGCCCTGTTTCATGCCAGCTCGCTATATTTTGAGATGAGTGTGGTTAAAAGAGGGGACCCCCTAACACATACTGTTGCCCTGTGGTTGTCCTTCAAAACAGCCCAAGATGCGTACGCTGAAATGGACACACCCACAAGAGCATGCAGGGGCTTGCCCGGAGTTCAATTGGCCGAGCCACTTGGCTTGGCTAACTCTGAGATCATCTAAGTTGATGGCTGGCTCGGGACGATTCGGTTTTGGGAAGTTGAAATTGCTTCCCACGCACCATCAAAGGGGTATCGGTTCTGGTGGGAAGAAAGCCGGACTCTATGGTCTATATATTCTGTTTTGGTGGGAATTCAACCAGACCTTTTGGCTGCGGTGACTCCACGGGGGAAAACGCTACAAACAACTTCAGTGACTTTTCTGGCTCGTTGCCCAGTTGAATCCCCCGTTGCCTACTTGTTCAGTGTGTTCCACCCGTGGTAGGGACTCTACCAGAGGCTCACTAAATCACAGAACAGTCGGACTCACTTAACTTTCCACGGCGTTGGTTGCAAACAACTTCCCGTTCAAAAATATGTCATTTCGTTTTACTAGCTGCTTACAAGTTCCAGGGGTGGATTCCCGTTCAACCATGACTCTTTTCAAGCTGGTCCTTTTGCTTTGAAGGAGTCCTGAGTTTGGAATGGCTGGAATTTATTTTTAAACAAAAGTCAGAACTCGATAGATTTGCCGCCAGAAAAGCCAGGCGGAGTTCACGAAACATCTGTATAAAGCGACAAGCAGCTGCCCCGGAAAAGGGTTCTCATTTTCTGGATCACTTTTTGCAACTGGGTCTTGGTTACCCGCAACATGGCCTGTTTCAACCTTTGGGTCCCAAGCAGCAATTGCCCCTTTCAGTTAGGAAATTATTGCAGGATGTGGAGGTTCTTACCATTATGGGTGGGCTCAGGCAGGTTAAAGGAAAGAAAGCGGGCACACTTGCGGCTGGAGCCACTATCAATCAACAAAAGCGAAAAGGGCAAGGTCTCCAAAGTGCCTTTCCAAATGTCCAAGGCAGAATCATGCACCCAAAAGACAACAAATCGCAAGGGGCATGGTCTAGTCTTGGAAAAGGCTGATGGTGGAAAGAATGACGCGGAATCAATTTATGGATTAGACATTGTGATGTCCACCAAGGGGTCATATTCAAATTCACACCCTCCGACCCAGGCAGCATCATGCACGCGGGCGGGCCCTGGGAGCAGGGCCTCTCAGAGGTGCAGGCGAAGTTGGGCCAAGGGAAGCAAGCCCACTTGCTGACTTTGATAATTGGAAACAGTCGAAGTGACCCCAGTTAAGGGATACATGCCCAGCCCACCATAATGTAAAACTGGTAGGTAAATGAGAAGCTGGTAGCTTGAGGGTTCCCCCCCCATTTAAGACCCACCCACATCTGGGCCTGGGCCAGTGAGCAAATCGCGTTTACCGGCTGATTGCGGAGGCCCCCAGCTTTAAGGAACCATGTTGGCCCCCTCTTTAAACCAGCATACCTTATCTGGCTTAAACAATATGTTGAGCAAACATGGTTCCCACAAACTTGATTGGGGTTGATGGTTTCCATCCTGATTCCCAGTGGAGGGCTTGGTCTTTTGCCCACCATACGCGCTCTTCCCGCGCAGGCGGTCTTATCGCAGAACGGTCTGCGGAACCGTGTGACGTTGCGCGTGGACGGGGGCATCAAGCCTTGGCCTCGGATGGGGTGGGATCCGAGGAGACGAGGTCGGCTGGGCTCCCTTCAGCCCAACCCCAAAAAGGATGCCCACAACAAGGCATACCCGAGTTTGTTTTCTGGTGGGGGCTTAAAGGTGGGCTTGGGCAAAGTTTATTGGCTTTTGTGGAACGTTGTTCGAGGTTTGGCCCTACCGTTCAACATTAGTTTGGGCCCTACTAAAAAGAGAAGGTCAATTTGGTTTCGGAGTTGCCCCTAAGAGAAACCAAAAGGAGATGGAAGTGCCTCCCAGACGGTCCCAGGAACATGGTCGTGCAAGATCAGGTTCCGCATTAGCGGTGAGCGTAGTAGCGTTTGGGGAACGACACGTTTTGTGGGCATTTGCATTTCGGGTTGTAGCCTGTTGCAGCCAGGGGTGCTAGCGACTTTGGTTGCCTGCTTGTAGCTGGGGGGTTGACAAATTCAAAGACGATTTCGTTCCACCCTCCAGAATTTCCGGGCGACCCCGTGGCGAGGACGGGCTGGGACGTGGTGGTGGCGGCGATGATGGGCGCGGAAGAGTTCGGTTTCGGAAGTGTGGCCATGATTGCCGAGGGGTGCATCATGGCTCGGGTGTGCCACATGAGCCTCGGAATGAAGAACTGGAACTTGCGTGCTTGTCTTTGCATTCTTGGTTGTTGCGTTTTGCTAGTGGATCCCAGTTACCAGTATACAGTATACTAGGTAATCAGCCATTGTCCCAGTTTTTGAAGGGAATCAATGTAACTATTGGACATATGTTGTATTTTTCTAGGGGACGAAAAAGCAAATGGAGGGCTGTGTTTGCATTTGTGTTGTTTCTAGTTGTGATTTGCCTGTTACTTGGTAATGTTGACCCTGGATTTCAGTGGAACCCATCCTATTGAAAGGGAGTGTTCCCTCCAAAAGTGATGAATCCCCACAATTAAAAGGGGACGCCCACCCCGATCAAGCTCAACCAGGGGTTCTGCTTAATCCGGGGTTCCCTGTAAGCAAAACGTAATGTTCCGGTGTTTTGGGTTCCAATCTACTCCCGCGGCGAGACAAGCTTTGCAGTTCATGGCCTGGTGAGGGTCCCAGGTGATCTTCCCAAGTCCGTGGTTTCATCCATTTTCCGACGTGGTGAAACGAGCAATTCCACTAAAGGGAGGGGGGTTAAAACACGCAAAGTCCATGATGTGATCCAATTCTGACTTCAAGTGTGGAAGCATTTTGCAACAATTGGCGATCTATGCTTGGCCTCTTTCCAAACGCGGCTTCAGACAGTTTGAGCTGGCACCTGAAAGAGCAATTTGCACATGGGAAGCCCAAGCAACCCATCCCTCATGAATAGATCTTGCTGGAAAATAGCTTGGGAGCGTCAAGGGGGGCAAATCAGGAACCGCTGTCCCGTGGGCGTGGCGACACAGCGCGAAGATCTGAGGCGGGGCAAAGGTGGGCTGGTGGGAGTGGTATTTTCAATGTGTCTGGACGAAGGTCGCAGGGGAATATTTCAGCGTATTTTCTTCCGCAGGTCGCGCACTTTGTGCACATGGACCTAGATCCGTTGGTTCGGTTACCAAGTTGCCAATGTAGAAGGAGCGTAGCCCTGAACCGACCCGGTCGAGGGGGACCGTCCCCACCCTAGGGTTTCAGAAGGCCCTGAAAGCATCTGAAAGCTAATCCTAAACGGTGTGTCGGAACAAACCAGTTGGAAGCAACAAAAAGGGCCCGCCCCCCACGTGTTCCAACTGTTGTTGCTTTGACCGCGGTTTGGCTTCTGGTTCCGGGGAAAAGTTGTTCCCTGTGTGCAGGTTCGATGGAGCCCCTTGCGTTTCTGAAGGAACCCACACATGAGGGCCGCACCAGCAGGAAACATTGTTTGAACATGGCGGCTGGTGGGTTGTAGGAAGCCAAGCATTTAGTTTGGGACCATGCAAGGAAACACCTTTCCCGATTGAGAGAGCGCAGGGAAAAGTGCTCATTGCTGCCTCTCGTTGGTTGAACATCCATGAGCATGCTGAGGGGTCTTTCCCTTCCAGTTCGGGGAATCTCTTCAGATGAGTTTAAAGGGAAGTTTAAAAAAAGAACCGTACAAAGGAGGTCCCCAAAGGACACCACAAGCAGTGCGTACGTACAAACATAGGGGGGTCCAACATATCGTGGTGTTCCTTTTGGTTTCTTTAAACCATCCATAACAAAGGTGCCCTCAAAAAGGACGTGCCAGGGTTGAGTGCAGATGGTTGACCCAAAGTGTTCCCTCGGTCGAAACGTATCTGTTTTATTCGGGATTCCTGCTGCCCATTGGTGGAACTTTCTCTTTCCAGCAGTCATAGCAAGTGGACAGGAGCGCTTAGGAAGACTACCAGGCTCTTGTCCACTTCCGCTGTTGGGACATGTGCATTTCCGTTTAACATTGAAAACATGGAAGGCCCAACTCCAGAAGGAGGTCGGTCCCCTTTCCAAATCTGTTCTTTTTGGTTTGCTATTTTTAAATATAATTGGTGGTTTGGGTTGGTGGCTTGGGGATTTGAAGCCCGGTTTCTTTTGAAAGTTCCCGTGAAACCAAATGGGCACTAATCAGAGGGAAGCTGATTTGCGGATATGTTGCGTTCATCTAGGTGATTTTTGTCCATAGGAGGCAGAAGCTCCAAAGAGCCTGCCACCCTCAAGCTGCCAGGCTGTGCGACCCCCAAGCCCCGAAACCCCTCTGGAAGAGAGAAAACAGAGGGGGTGGTCTTGAAGGGAAGCCAAACGGAAACCTAATCACAGGGGGTTTGTTTAAGACACGCCGCCGCGCCCACAATATTGTCCCAAGCATATTTTGAGACCCCCAAACCCCGCTGTGCTCAACCCCTCATTTTCGGGGGTTCTTTGTTTTGAGACTTGATTTCCCAGGAAGAAGTTTCCCGGAACGCCCGAGCACGTGGCGAACTTCATGCTCTTTGTGGCCGAGGAGGTTCGGACCATCATCGCCGCACTGGGCTACACGCCGCTCGCCTTCGCGAGAACGCATGCTGCCTTAAGAGGGGTTCCTCTTCGGCCCGATGTTTCCCCTTAAAGCACGGGTGTTTTTTTGTTGCTACTTTCCTGGAGCGCCCTTCGTTACACAAAAATCTGCCCTCAGCCCAAACGTATTGCAAAACCAAGGGTCGTCACCCTTCGGCCCGCTTCGAGCGTTTTTCTACAAACCGGGCCGACCGGTCCTCCAAGATGATCGGTTGCCGAAAGGAGCAAGCAGAAACCGAAGTCGCAAACGAGCGCAAATTTCTGTAGCAATGGCTCGCCTTCCTCCGGATGGAAGAAGGCGGTTTGATCGAGCCTTTTTTCGGGGCGCGAGGGTTTTTCTTTGGGGGTCGAGCAGAAATTGGCAGTTCGAGCGTTGTTTCTCGTACCAAAAAAAAAGGGCACGTTGGGTGCTTCAGTTTTAAAAGGAAAGCCAAAAAAAAACCCGAAGCCACCTGTACCAAGGGATGTTCACCCATGGGATAAACCAAACCACAAGACAAAATATGGGCGAGGCCCTTCGGGGATGCCTCCGGCCTCTAACATTTCAAAGGAGGACCAGATTGGAGGGGTCCTCTGCTTTTGAACATTGCCTCCTGGAGTACAGACCCCTGGTTTCTGGCTTCATACATGTATACACGTCCTTTATATACATCATGTGAAACCCATGGTGAGGTAGCTTTAGCTTCAAGGAAATCTACGGCAGGGGCCACCTGAGGGACACGCCTGGAGAGCTGCCCTTTGAGCTCAGATGGGCGTTGGGTGGACCGCTTCAGCACCAGGTGTTCATTTCAACTCAAGCGAGTATATGAGTGTGTCTTTTTGTTTGTCTGTCTGTCTGTCTCTTTGTCTGTTTGTTTGTGTGTTTGTGTGCTTGTTTTGTGTGTTTGTTTTGACGGTGCCCGTGGCAACTTTTTTCGAGAAGGCCAAGGGAAGCCAAAGGAACCTCATTTCGGGGATCGCCGGAGTCGACTCGGATTGACTCCAGGTCCTTAGACGAGGTGATCGGCCGGGGGGACTTGCTCTCCCCGCGCGCCGAGGGCTCCATGCGGACCAACGTGCCGCAGCCCGCCGTGGCATCCCAACCGCCAAAGCAAAGGAAGCTGAGCCTGCAGAGTCAGCTGTTTTGCAAGTTATCTGTTTTTGGCATGTTTGAGTTATTATATTTTGTCTTTTTTGCTTGTTTGAGTTAGTAGAATTTGTATTTTTGTTTGTTAAAATCAAAAGTCAAGCCTAGTGATCCAGTGACAAGCCCGAAAGGCTTTCTTGGCGTGTTTGCCGCCCTGTGTTCCGGAAGGAGGGATGTTAACTTGCTTTCAGCAGGGGGCTGCAGAGAACAACACAGCGTTTTGCAGCATGCAAACAGTTCGAAAGGAGAAGACCTCCACCCCCTCAGCAGATTGGTAAACCCCAGCAAGGTCCCTTTTCTACCAGGGTCACTAAGCAACGGGGGGTTAAGCATTGCGGAGTCCAATTGGTTCACCATGGGTCACGCTCCCCCCCAATGTTTGTTACGTATATGTGGACAAGACAAGGTTGCCTGGGAATTTGAAAGAAGGATGCGTGAGAAGCTGGAACAGTCGACATGAGATTGGTTTAACCTTTAATGCACATTCCCCTGGTTTAACACTATTAGGTGGGTTCCCCAGTTTGTCTAGCAAATCAGGCGAGCTGGTTTGTGCATTCATTAAGGCAAACTCGTGCCCGAACAACTGTGAACACACTCAACATGGCAATGTTGGGTAGCGATTAGTAAAAGGGGAGTCAATACACATTTTCCCTGAAAATTATCCCCTCACCTGAAAAGCATAAGGTGGAAAATGCACAACAACCAAGCAATTCTTGGATAAGAACCATGTGTTTGGGCTGGTATTGTTTGAGCTTGCTGCATCCAACCTGCTCCGTACCCCAGTCACAGCAGCTCCCGCAGTTTCAGCAGGCCCGCCAGGCCCACCACACACACCACCAACCTTACCGCGTACCACGAACCACCAACCGGACCAACCAAGAAGAGCTGACCCGACTGAGGCCCCAATCAGCCAAGTTCTTCATGACACTCTTTACTGAAACTGCCACCAGCCAAATTTTGAAGGGGGTGGCACAGTACTGGGACCACCCAGGAAGGTAATAGCATGGTTTGTCTAAGGATAGGGAATGGAGAACACAGTTTTGCACTGGGCCAGAGCTAAGGACTACTAAACCAATGCTACACCAATTCTAAACTGCACTGAGCCAGTACACACAGATACTAACCAAAACTAAACCAATTCTAAACAGTACAGGGGGAATCATACTCCAGCACTCAACCCAAAAACCAATACAAAGCCAATACTAAGCCAACACAAAAGAGTCTTTACTGGAAGGCTACTTAGGCAGGCCCCAGTCCGACCCCTATTTTGGTTGTAGCTTTTTCCCTGTTGACCCCTCTCCCCCCCATTTTGCTTGGGGGGGGCCCTTTACTAGTCAGTCCGCCACATAAACATTTTAACACCAGGCGTGTTTGTTTCGCTTTTTCGGACCAGTCATTGGCAGACTTAACCAACTTGTTTACCATCTTGCCCCTTTTGAGTTTCTCCATTTCCCTGTTAATCAGAACAAATCAAGCACACATTCCCTTTTTGTAGGGTCCCTTTTGTCGCCAAGTAAGGAAGCCAAAGAAACTGTCCAAGACAGCCAAAGTTGACTTGACAAGCTTCTATGCGGAGGAGAGGCCAGACGAGGAGACGCGTCTTGCCTGGGTAGGTGCGAAACGGGACACCCCGGCGCACAGCAACGGCCCAGTGTTGGACGAGGAGATCCTGGCGGAGGAGGAGGTGGCGAAGGTCATCGAGGAGAGCTACCCACTGGGCCCATGAACTTGACTGAGGTCAAAGTGAGGAAGTGGGGCTGTTCCCTTTAATCTACCACGCAGGGTGACTTTGAACATAGCAAAGCAGCGGGGCCAGTCTCCTCAATTGCAGTTGGGTGAATATAATGCCACAAGTTCCCACATTCTCGTTCATTCATCTTTTTGTTTGCCCCTCCTTCCCCCCTCTTTTTACTCAACCAAGGGCTTGTCCATCCAGGGTCAACACTAACACCGTTCGCTTAAAGGATAAAATATCTAGTAGTCCTTGATCCATTTGGCAGGGGCTCCTCAAACTTCCGACTCAAAACTAGCGGGAAGCCAATTTTTCCTCTTTGGGACAGACACGGTCCCGTTTGTGGGCGGTTCGCTTGTGATTGGATTTTTTGTGGGATCAGGTTCTTGGTTGGCGCTTTCCCATACTGGAGGTGCACCACCCCTTTGGTTGGTCCGGGGAGGAGACATTTTTGTCGAGATGCCCATTCCTAGTTCACGTTGGCCCAGGAAGACTTTCGACAAGTACCTTTTTAGAAGCTCGTTTTGCCCAGTGGGGTTGCTGTTGGTGTGGTATCCGTGCCAGCCCACTTGCATCCAGTGACATAAACGAACAAGACGTGGAATTGGAGACCCTTACCTCTCGCTTGAGGTATGGGGTCCCAATAGCCCCGGCTTTGCCAGAGCTAATGGCCAGGGTGGCTAAGATGGTTTTGGAGGGATCACTAAATGCTTAGCCTTGGCTAAAGCCCAGAGAACGGGACTTACCATACCAGGGTTAACCGCTCTGCCAATCGTCCCAGACATCGAGGAGGCGATGGGCCATTTGGTAACGTTTCCTGCCAGATACTTAAGCAGTGGTATTCCAGTACTGGCAGGGGATGTAAGCTTGAGGTTTAAGCATCGCCTTGGGGCCAGGGAAACAAAGAGGTAGACTTAAACTCGGGGGTTGCCGTAGTCAGACAATGGAACTCTGTCAACTTGCCTCCCACAAAACCAGGCTTGGCTCATGATTCTTTCATCCCCTTTCGGCCTTGCGGCTGGTCCAAGGCAAGGGACAAGCCTTACCCTTTCGAGGCTTAAGCTCGCTCACGCGGTTTGTTGATTAGTTGCCCTATCCTGGGAAGGATAAAGCAAACTTGGGGAGATATGGGGAATGGTGACTCGGATAAAACCAGGCTTGCTACCTTCCATTTGCTCAAGTAGTATCCCCCCCCCCCCCGTCGGTTGCAAAGGGAATGGTTCAGCACAGCCTAGAAATATGTTTATGTTTTCTAGGGGGCTTCGCATTAAATGGATGGCAAGAAACCCTTAGGAGAACGGCGGCCGTGCACAGCTGGCCATGGACATCCGGAACACCCATCGCTCAGTGGGCGGCCGCATCGCCGGCGTCATCGCCGCCAGGCGCCGCCGGGGGCGAGGTGGGCAGATGGGCCACTTCCCTGCTGTCGACCAGCGCCCAAAACTGAAAAGCCGGAAGGAAGGGCCCATGGAGTTTGACAAGGCGAACCCTGGGATTCGCGTGCGGACTCAAGTCTGTGCACTACTCCGAAATGAAGCAAGCAAATTTGTTGAAAGGAGTTGGGATGTGCAAAAGGTCCTGATGGAGAGAGCAGGAAAGCAGATAAGCGCTCTGCGGTTTCCCAGCCGCGCTGCCTCAGCCCCGCAGGCAAGCAACATGACTGCTTGTTTGACATTGGTTAGCATTTTCTGGCTCCTACAAATGTGGGCCCTGGCCTTAGCATTTTGTTCAAGGTGGCACCTTTTTCCATAGTCTGGAAGGCCTCTTAATTTGAGTCATGTCGACTCTTGCGGCCTTGATACTGCTGAGTGCTCCGGTGTTCCGGGGTTGCTTGTGTTGAAAGGACAATCCCGGATGCAGTGGACAGGCCATGGACATCGATGCCAGCATTTGGAGGGCTCCTGCAGACATATATGATTTGCCTGCAAACTGCAAGGGATTGACAACCCGAACAGATGAACTCGGTCATCATGAGCCACGCGCAGACACGGGTCATCTTGGCTGGGAGCTGCTTGGGTCTCTTCGAATTTCTTCACAAGGGACCGCAGCCCAAGTCCTTGCCTTAGGTAAGAACCTCCCTGAACATGGATCCTTGATTTCCTAGGTCGCAATGTGCTCCATAGCTCGCTGAACCCAAGCTTCACCACCCCTGCTTTGTCCCGCTCGTGGCAGTTTCAGACCACAGGGCTTCTTCTGGTCCAGGTTCCTTTCACAAGCTTCCCGAGTTTCGTGCTTTTTTTTCGTTCTGTGAATGATTCCAATTTGCCCAGAAGAATAATGTTCTCCCCATACTTCTCGTGTTGTTTGCCCACTTTCCGGAGGCATGGGGACTATGGCTTCCAGGGCGAAGTTCATCTGAACTTCGCCGGCTCCGCCGGGCAGTCCTTCGGAGTGTGGAACACCGGGGGGGTCTTTCTCAAGGCGAGGCAAGCAGCTGAGAAGGGGGGGTAACCCGAGAGAGGAAGCGTGAAGACCTGAACCACACCTAGGGTTGCCCCGTGGATCCGACCGGCAACAATAGTAGGCAACCAGGGCAAAACATGTATTCCTGCACTGGTTTGGTAGTTCTGGGCGACAAAGAGCTTGCTTGGCAATGTGTCTCAAGACGGGTTGCTTTTTGCATTGGATCGATACCCATCTAACCTCCAAGCCTCCAAGCTCCAAATCAAGAGGGAAGCTGAAACAAATCAAAGGCGACCTCCAGAAACATCTCCTAGAGCTGGGCCCCTTAAAGTGACCAGGCATCTTGAGGGCTTCACACAATTACTCTCAAAAGGGTGGTTTCCCTTTGTTCCCCCACTTGAATGCTGGTTTTTAACTCGCTTAACCCGACCTTTGACCTTTTGATTTTTCCATTTGTGGTTCATGTTTAGTCAAGGGTTTGGAAAAGTTGTATTTCCAGGCGCCTTGGGCAAGAGAGTTGAGGATATCACTGTAATGAATCCAGTGTGCCTTCTGATGCATGTTGCTTGGTGCGAAAATTAGAAGTCCCGTGTCTTCAGATCAGGGCTTAAGGAAGCGCGTTGGGCTTTTTTATGCTTCTGTTGTTGTGATGCCCCACGGAAAAGAAAAAACAACTCGGACATCGGATGAAGGAATCCAGCGTCCTTCCCATGTTCAGTTTGTGGGTTGGTTTTTTGAGGGTACCCTAATTGGGCGGTAGACGTAACTATCAGTTTTGTGGCCCTCTTGTCGAGACTTTTGACAAGCCCCTGTTGGCTCCCAGCGGATGAGGGGCGCCCCCCCACCCCCCCCCCCCCCCAATTTTGAGGTTTCCTTTTGGGGTTCCTGTAAGCATCACCGCCTTGGACAACTAATTACGCTCGTGCCTTGGACCGCCATGGTCGTGTCTTGGAGAATCACGGCTGCGCCTAGACATTGCGGGCCAAGAATTTGGAAAGAAAACCATGTCTTCTTTTTTGAAACACTAAACACATCAGCTTGTTTAGGTGCCAGGGTATATATATATATGTATATATATATATTGAGTTATTTGTGTCTGTTGTTGAGTGGCAACCGCATCGACAACCCAGTCCGCGTCAGGTGACCGGGGACTGCAATGACTACGTTGGCAAAGGCATGAACGGTGGCTGCATCGTGGCCGTGAAGCCCGAGGAGAGTTCCTTTGCAGCTCAGGACCGGCGCTCGCGGCCACCAATCCGGCCCAGCAAATTCCCTGAACACGGCGCGTCTCTTTTGGGAGCTGGTAGGTCTGGGGTGGCTTGACAGGGGAAGTCAAAGGGGACCCCAAGACTGGAGTTTGCAATTTTCTGCACGAAAAGCGCCCGCAAAAGGGAGACACACCGAGAATTTTGCCACTCACATCCAACAATCTCAACCACCTATCAGCACCAAACAAATACGATGGGACAGGATACGAAAATTGACCCTAGATGGACAGATCCGGCGGATTCACTGGGTTTGTTTCACCGCCCAAGTCTGTCAAGATGTTTTGCTAAGATTGGGCAGCCCCCTTTGTGAATCAACCAGTTGCTGATGAATCCTTGGTTCCCATTACCTTGCTTCATGGAACCTGGGTCTGCCATCCTTCTCTGCGGTGCCTGACAGTTCCTATCTTTGCCCCCGCGCCCCCCCCCCCCCTCTTGCATCAACTGTTCCTTTTTTTCCACATGCGGTGCGGGGGGTGCCTAAGAAGGCAAAGCCCTGGAATCCTAGAAATGCCGTTGGCAGCCCAAACTACTATGTTGCGTCAAGGTCTTATAGGAAATAACGATCTGTCCCCCACCTCCCCCCCCCGTTTGGCCACTGACGGCATCGTCTTCTTTCAGGTCCAAACACGGTTTGATGCTTGTTCAGGTCACGGCGCTGTTCTCAAGCCACCCTTTCTTGCGGGGGCTTAGCGGCTCGCTCGGTTTGATACCTGGCCGAGGGGGAAATGTTAGACACGGCCTGCGTTTGAACGTTTGTTCCTGTCGAATTCAGCAAATCGCTCACTGACGATAGGCAGGTTGGAGGTAAGGTTTATCCCTGATTAAGAAACCACACCCAGTCGGAGGGGGGCTGCCCTTGAAATGCGTCTCATCCCTGGAGTCTGTTGTGTTTGTGTGTGTGTGCGTGCGGTTTTTTGCCCTCGACAAAAATGATGGTGGTTGCAATGACCAAGTTATTTTGCTTGGCGGCAATTCCAAACTGGCCACTGCATGTAGCATCCTAGGACCCATTTAGCTTGAAACCCACGCCACCTAAAAGTGGGCTTTGTTCGAAGCCGCCAAAATCAGATTCCTTGGTTGGTGGCTTGCAGGGGTGGCTTGGATTTGGATTTGAACCCCGGCCTAGTTTTTGTACACAGTAATTCCCCGAACCACCAAACCAGTGGGCTACAAACCACCAATCCAAGCTGACAAAAGGCCTGGCGTTTCTTTGTTCAGGAGAACGTCATCGCGGGAAACACCTGCCTCTACGGCGCCACTGGCGGCGAGGTCGCATGGCAGCAACATCAACAAAAATCATGTTCAATCGGAAAGAGTTTTCCATGCAACAACCACATGTCAATGCATCTCACAAAGCACAATCAGCAGGTTGCGAGGCCGCTTCCTAGGTTGATTCTAGCGGGAATAATTTGCGCGATCATCCGACTGCGCCTAGCTTTATCTTGGCACGATCCGGGCAAGATCCGAGCACGATCCGAGTCCGATCCAGCTGCGAGTTGCGCAATAAAGAGCTCTGGAAGAATGCCCGGGTAGACGCATGTACTGCCCCATCATGCCACAATCCGCGCACTTTCTTCAGCACACGATTGACCGCCACCCCATGCAAGTGCTGGGGTTGGGCGCGTGAAAGGACACAATCCGTTTTGCTGTGAATGTTTGATGCTGCATTTTCGCGCGATGTATGTTCAGACGCACAATCCACTCACCTTGACTCACTCCGCACCCCGATGTGGTGTAGAGTTTCCGACATGCTTCTTGCTACTCGCCTAAAGTTTAGGTGTGCGGAAGATTAGGTGGCACGTGCCGCGGAACCCACTTAGCCATATTTCAGCTTCTAAGCACGCAAATAGAAATAGCCCTCCGCAACCTGCTTCCGCGGAACAAAGCTGCGAACATTGCCAAACATCAGCTTACCATCGAGTTGCTTAAGCTCCTGGCATCAGTGTGTCGTTTTGAGGGTGCCCCCATTGTTGTAGTCTCAAAGGGAAGCCAAAACGGAACCAACTTTTTCGGGGGTTGCCAAAAAAAGACACCCCCATTTGGGTTCTTCTCAGACATATTGTTTCAAGGTTGACTAAATATGAAAGATTGTCTGAACATGACATGCGTTGGTGTACCCCACGGTTTGGCCAAGCAGTTTTACAAGCAACAACAAAGCAGTACCTAGTGTGTGCAGTTTGTGCTTCCACACAACCACAAACTGCGATACACATGAATTATTGGCAATTGGTAAATTCAATCAACAACACTACCCACATCCACAAACAAGGCGGATGTTGTTTGGCTTTGTAATGTTGCAAAAATACATTCAGCCAAGTCATGTAGCAATAGTTATAGTTTGTTGCTGAGCACCAACATTTTGAACGGAGCTTGTTTACTAGAAAGGATTCATGACGAATCTCGACTGACTAAGCGCTGAACTTTCAGCCATGAACGGTCCACTACCTCCCACCGATTGAGACCTTGGAGGATCCTGGAAGACGTGTTTCCCAGGATTCCCTGGTGGGTTCCAACTGTTGGCAGGCCATGACCGCGATGTTTTTTTTTGGGGGGTGGTGGGGGTGCGAAAAATCCAGCGATGGGCCAACCCCTTGTCACATGGCTAAACAGCTGTTGGTTTTGAAACAGTTGTTGTTCAAACATGGGTTTGCCTAGGGTGAGGGGTGTGGTGTTCCCTCCAAAAGAAACCTAATATTCCCCTCTAAAAGCAATATGATTCCTCACTAAACCGGGGTTCCCGCATGAATATCTCGATCCAGAAAAATGCAATATAAGCAAGAGAAACCATCAAGAACCTAAAAAGTAATCATACCCAAAGATCATATACCTATAGTGGCTTGCCTCTCGCTGGAAAAGACAATGTCTGGAATTGGATTCCGAGGGAACAATTGGCAGCCACAATCAATATGCCCAGTGATGTTGGTGAGGGCTCCCCGGTCCATTCGGAATTTTACGCATCCCTGCCTCCCCAATATCGTATCCAGGACTGGGTTTGAGTTCTTAATTACCCTGAGGCAGAATTAAGCCCAGGCGTGAACCCCCTGGGTTTTAGGCCGGGTCGTACTTAGATCCGGGCTCAACATTAGTGACTGGTCACATCTTGGCCATGCTGTGGACGAAATCCTGCACCACTTGGGATAGAAGACGATAAATAGTGCTTGATAAACCGCCAATCCCAACTGGTGCTTGGCGTGGATTTGTCCATTCACGGAGTGTGTCTTGTTTAAGTAGCCCCCAAAATGGCATCGCTTTCCTTTGGCTTTCCCTGCGGAAAGCGGGTACAATTTCAGACGAGCCCTCAACGAACAGACACACACACACACACATGCGCACACACGCCCGCACAACACACACACACACACCAGGGGTTCTGAGAGTCACTGAGGTCTTCCTCAGCGGCCGCGTGGGCGAGCGCTTCGGCGTGCGGAACGCGGGCTGCCGGGCCGTGGTGGAGGGCGCCGGGGACCACCTCGCGGAGCCGCGGCCTCGGAGATCGACACGCCTCCAATCTGTGTCTTTTGGTCCAACGCACCCCCTCTTTTGGTGTTGTTCTTAAAAGCACACCCATGGTGTGTCCTTTTTTGAAGGGTTCCCTTTTTGGGTTGATCAAAAAAGCAACGGCCAATTTCAGTGAAGTCTGATCAAATTCCGGGAACGTTACCCCCTTCCCCCAGTCCATTTTGCGCGAGCCATGTGGGTGCGAATGTCCGTGGGGAACCGTGCGGTGGACATCATTTTGGTGGGAATTCATGTCCGCCCACCTGCAAACACAATGGTACATGCAGAAGCCTTCGAACCCGGTGTGTTGACTGGCAGTTGGCACCCTCTGTGGTTTTCCAACAGGAAATAATTGAGGACAGGCCTACTCAGGGTCCTCCCCATGCTTCAGAGTGAGTCCGGCATAGCCTCCGGAGTCTAATAGCACTGGCCACTCCATTTTGATCAACCCATTGATTCAGACCGCGGGGGGAAACGGAGCCCTTTTCATGATGCTTGGAATCTGTATTGAAGATAATGGTTTCTGCTCACTTGCCATGCTTTTTCTAGAAACTTCAATTGGCAGTTGAATGGGTTTTCATGCTTCTTGTGAGCAATTTTTGTGAAGACATCAGATGAGCCCTATTTTCAGGTGTTGAGTTGCTTGTAGAATTTGCAGATCCATGCTGACTCATGACCCTAAATGGCTTGATGGTCATTGGCCTCTAATGGTCACCAGTCATCAAGCACCCGGGGGAGCGTTTGAGGTTGCATGTTTCCCAACAAGTTGGAGTCCAGTCAACTGAGGGCACTTATTGGGTTTGCATGGGAGGTGAATTAGTAAACCAAAAAGCAACTCGCTTACATATGCCATTTCTGGGTTGGGACTGTCAAGTGTCCATTTGAGGGCACGGGACCGGACTCACAAAGCTTACAAGGGGTGAACCCAGAGAAATCTGTTTGGTTGGCAACTTGTTTTCGATCGAAGGGGATTCGCCTTCGTTGCCTCGAAGCCAAGGGATAGCGTTTTTGACCATGGCCAAACGTTTCTGCCTTCTCCTGGTGACTAGTTGACCTTCCCCAATGTTGGGCGACCGCGTGCCACCGCGTTGGGCCATCTCTCATGGAGCCTTCACTGCTCTTTGCATGATTTCATTTGGGGCATAGACCCCCCACACAAAAGTGGTTTGGATTGGTTTCCCTTTAAGCCAACCTGAAAGTGGTACCCTCCAAATGCAGTCCCCCATTTGTGTGTTTAGCTTCTTGTGGCTCTGATTTCAATTGTGGCTCTCCGAATGGTGCAGTTCTTTGCAATCCTACTGAGATGATGGTAAAAAGGTTGAACAATTACTATGGGGTTGACCAAGGGCATGGCCAGGCATTAAAGTGCACCGACCTGTTTGGAAAACTGCGTCTTCCTCTTGAAAGGGAGTCAGCCAGACCTATGTGGGATGGCCTTTGGTACCATAAGATCGTTTCCCACAACCATGGCTCGTGAATTTCGGCGACGCCTTATTCATGAGGTACATGACCAACGGTGTCATCGTCGCGCTGGGGCGGATCGGGCGCAACGTGGGGGCCGGGATGAGTGGGGGACTGCTGTACATCTATGAGCCGGAGGACAAGGGCATCCAGATCCCAAGCTGCAGTCGGGCTTTCCCCTTACCTAAAGGAAGCTGTACCGCAACCGCTTGAAGGGCAGTGCCCCCTTTGGAGGCAGCCTGAGACTCGTTTAACTTGGGAGGCCAAGGCTTCCAAGTTGTTCCCCCAAGCGTGGTGTTAAACTTCACCTTTAGGGGATTTTCGGGGAGGTTCTTCAGGTGGGCGTGATATGTGAAGACAGGGATATAGGGAGTCCTATGCAAATGTCCAATTTCTATTGGGGCAGCTGTTCTGGGGTCTCTTTTGAGGGACCAGGTTGGATTGCATAAGGCGAACCTGAAATATGTGCACCTGCTTTGCAGGTGAGTCGTGCATTTGAAGGTGGCCAGCAATAGCTTCCCTCCATGAACTGCCGCTGGTGTGCGTTCTTGTTTTGAGCGTGCCTGGTTTTGGGGGCTACTTATAGGGAAGCCAACAGGAACCCCATTTGGACACATTGAGCCAAACCTAAGGCTCAATGCAGACAATGAGGCAGGGTGGGGAGATGCAGATGTTGCCGGAGAAGCTCTATGCTAGAGCGGGCGCATTTTTCATTCAAGAGCAGGTTTAGGGATACGACGGATTGGCACGGCTGTATGGCATCCTCACAGTTTCAAAATTCAATCCAGAAAGCTTCCCCATTTCAGGATCCCCCTTATCCAGGGGTGTATCCAAACTAAAGGCACCGAGGCCAACAGATGTGAAGCGCTCCATTTGGTTCTTGGCGTTTGCTCGGAACCTCGAAGCAATCACGCCACCTGGCAAAACATTGCACCCTGGCCAAAGCTGTTCCTTATGTCCTTTAAATGTCGGTTTATATGCGGGGAACATGTGTCCAATTGGAGCTGCATTTCTGAGCACTTCCCGTTGGACAAGGGGGGTTCGAGAGCATGGCCAAAGGAAGCCCAACCATCTGGTCGATTCTCTGCTTCCCCTACCTTTGCAGCCTTTGCATTTGGATTCTTCCAAATCTTTGGGGGCCTGGGGATTAAAAGGAAACCTCCAAACAACATATCCAACATGGCGAGGCAGATTTCTGGCCGTATTCTCCTAATCCTACCACAGACAAAAAATCCACAAAGAACGAACTTGCACAGGATAAATCACCTGCTTTCCCCCGGATCGGTGGAAGCGCTCGTGTACCAGATTGGGCGGATCCAGTGACCATTGTTCAAATTAGGGGGGAATTCCCAATCCTAATCCGAAATCTGTAGTGGCACGCTACTACAATGGAAGGCACAAATTACATCAAATTACCATCTCAAAGAAGAATCGTGCGGATCGATTTGGGACAACCCAGAAAGGAATCTGGTGGGAGTCGCTGGCAACTGCAAAAGGGCCACTGTCTGCCTCCCAAGCCCACCCGAAACCTCAGGTTCCTAGTGCCGAAGTCAGCGGCTGAGACGTTGGACAAGGTCAGCAGTTTTCTCTTGTCAAAGTTCAGGACTCTGCCACGTTTGTTAGCCCATTGCAAGGTGCGGGAAGCCCGCGTGAAATGGAAAGGGCAAACAACTGCTGGCCACCAAGTGCTAATACCCAGGCTTAATTATGATACCAAGTGTTTGAGGCTTCTCAGAAGGAGTTCTTAGGAGGATTGCGAGAACCTTCTTCGGGATCCGACCATTCCAATAAACATGGAAGGGCACAAAGCCCTTGTAGAAGACGGAGTCTTTGTTTGGGAGGGGCCTGAGTTTTCCAAATTTTCCAAACCAAAGGGAAACCGCCCAACTGTGTTCCAAGGAACGTGTCAAGTTAGAAAGCTTGAGAGAACAGATAAACAAAAGGACCTAGAACAGAATCTTGAGAATTGAGAATGAAGCGAAAGCCGAAGCAGACGTAAACATAAATCATATTTTTCACCCCACCCAACCCCACCCCCCTTTTTTCCCCCCACCCCTTACGACGTGAATCCGTTTCAGGCGAACGCCTTCCGTGTGACCTCAGAGCTCGGAAGGGCGCAGCTGAAGGAGTTGGTCGAGACGCCTGCCTGAACAGAGGTCCCTATTGTATTCAGGGCTAGCTTCGGGTATGGGTTTTGGAGCTATTGAGGTTGCACCCCACACGCACGCACACAAATATGTAGATATGTATATAGATATATTTATATTTGTCGGGATACCCAAACCTAACAATTATCTTGAACAATTGCGTGTCTTGAATTAGCCTTAAAGTCCCCGATAGGGGCCGTTCCCCAATCCCGACCGTTGTGAAACACGCGCGGGTGCTTTTATTGGGTTCCCCTTTTGGGAAAATAGGGGACCCTCGAAAATGGTTGGTTGTCCTTAAACACACCCCAACCTGGAACCAAGTCTCAAAAAAGACAGCCTTCTCAGCCAGCTTAAAGTTCACTTAATCCAATTGTGGCATATTCTCCTCTTGGGGTGGTGTTTGAGGGAAAACCGTAGAGAGCCCTATGATTCTTGAAAACGTTGGTTTTAGGACAATTTCCTGTCGGTTTGGGGGTAACACGAGCTATGTGTGTTGGTTCTTCACTTAGGGACCCTGTACTTCAGGCCTAGCACTTGGGTTCGCCCAACCCCTTGTTCGAGAATGTTCAAGCAGCAAGTGCTGGTTCCCTCTGTAGAGGGGGGCCAGGGTCTTTTGGTATTGTTACTAATTTGACTGTGACATAGATTGCACTGGGAAATCGTAATGGACCATGACTTGTCATGCTGCTGCTGTCCATGTGATATTTAAAGGTTTCAAAAAAGAAACAGTCATGAATTGGGTTGAGCTATCATGGGTTAGGAAGTGATGATATGCAATCCCATCTGTATAATGAGTGGCTTTTTGTGCCACAGGGGAAAGTGGTACAGGGGGCTAAATCACTGCAACTGTTTCTCTTCTGAGGACTAATTTAAATTTCAAGGGGCCCACCTGTTCTATCACTTACCATTTTTGTCCGACAATCATGGAAGTGGGCGAGGGGCCTTTTTCACGGACAGTCTTGCAACACCCGACATGGTTAGGTGAGTGGAAGGAGTCCCCTACTCCATTCCTCAGAAGTTCAGGGATCCCCCACCCCCCTCTTCGCAGCACGCATCCGAGTGAATCAATATCAGGAAGCACTTGGAGTTTACCGGCAGCAGTCGCGCCAGTGAGATCCTGGAGGACCAATCATTCCTGAGATTCGATTCGGGCTTTTTGAAGCGGAGTCAGAAGGAGTGTGGGAGGTTTAAACGGTGGGTGATCAGAACCATGGAGCTCGGCTTTTTGGAACGGGCCATGCTGTCACATTGGGTCGTTCAAACAATGGAATTAGGTTTCGAGAAAATGGAAGTCCTAAGCATAACGGGCTAGACAATTGCACGCATGACTCGTTTATGATCATGATTAAGTTTGGTGTTAAAGTAAAGTGCGCGATCCTATGGTAATATACTTAGACCGGACCCTTACATCATTCATGCTCCCGCTTGCGCTGGACACGTGAGGGGCACCTTGGGCTGCTTTCTTCAAGGAAGGATGTCTGCAGAAAGGGGGCTGAGAAACCGAAGATCCTCTTGTGATATTGCAACATCTCCGGTGAGAGCAGCTTGCTTCGGCCCGCCGCCGGCCTCCGCAGTCCTTTGATGGCTGACTCCGACCATGTGAAAGCTGCAGACCTAAGAGTTGACGCATCCGGAGGCCCGACGAGCCCGGCTATGGCACATGGGCGTCTCAAAATTGGGGGGCGGCGTCAGGGGGCACAGGCTCCCTTCGTTCAGATACCGCCGAAATCGAGAGCATCGAGAATCGAGCCATGGGCCGCAGCAGGTCGCCGAAGCGACTGAGTGTGGAGGAGGAGTGCCGGTGAACGTCGGACGGCTTGTGGGATGTGCGGTCCAAACCCGACATTTGACCCTTTGGTTTTACAGTGGTTAAACGCTAGTCAAGGCCACAAAAGGTCAACCTTTCCTTTCTGGCCCTTGAAGACCCCTTCGGTTTGGATTAGAACGGTCATTCAATTTGTGTGGGGCGTAGGGAGGTTATTCGGAAGCATGTCCTGCACCCTGTGACTACAGTTTGTTAGTGGGGTGTGGGAAGCCCATTTGGACATATACATACATACATATATATATATGTACATATTTGAACCCTTTCACTAGAATAAAAAAAGCTGGAAGTGGGGCGTGGGGCTTTTTGTTGTTGCTTCGCTCGGGCCTTTGACCGTTCAGAGTACAGGAGATGAGGTTTGTAAGACACCCCTATGAGCTCTCTCCCCGAGTTCCTGGGTTTCAAGCTTGGGGATACCATTGTAGCAGCAACAACAAGTTTAGCTTTTTGTTGCCAAACCACTTAGGAAGTGAGTGAGTGTTTCTCAAAATGATGGCCCCTTTTCGGTATTCAAGGGAATATTGACCGATTCCCACTTTGAGCACCTACCCCGTGTCCCAGATTTTCAAGGATCCCAATTCTCGTTTCCGCCACCACTTCCGTGGTGGGCGTTTCAAGCGGGTTATAGCGGGTTGCTGAGAAAATGTTGTTTTGTCCGATCAATATTTTCCTCTTCGGCTGGTTTTCCTCACCCAAGACGGGTTCTAGCAAACGCAGTGGCTCCAATCGTCGCAGGAAACCTTGGGCCTTGGCCGGCCTCCCGTGGATTTCTCTCGGGGCTTGAAATAAGGATGTTCCCGATGCCCCAGAAGTGAACAATTGACTCCCCTGCTCCATATAACCTTTCGCCTTTCGGAAGCGTGCATGGTCCTTTTTACGACTCACCAGCAAAATCTGAAAGCTCCCATTCGTGGGGTGTTTGTGTGTGTATGTTCCTACATGCCCGTCTCAGACTGGTATCTCTATTAACCATAACGATACAGGAGGCATTGGGGGCAAGGGACAAGTTAAGCGCCATTTTTTGGCCAACGCCTTCCTCGCCAAAACGCGTTGAGCGCCAGGATGTGAGAGCCGCCCACAAGGTCCGGGAGGCAGGTGCCAATGTGGTTCAACCGTAAGGAGGGCGTTTGAACAGGCTTCCTGAAAGGACACATGTGGGCCAGTTAAAGGGCAAGTGCCAGCTGATTCAGAGGATTCAATTCCGATCAAAGCAAGCTGTTCTTGGCTTATATCCTGCCGGAACCCTGCAATGTTTCTTTTTTTGATGCGGGCCCCGCTTGAAAATGGTTGGTGGACATCAACTCTGACCTAAATGATGTCCACCGAGAGGTCCCCAATCAAAATTCACATCCACGTGGGTGTTTAAGAGGTTCTCTACTTGTTGGCTTCAAAAATCACCTTTTGGTTTCCATGTTTAACGTGAGCTTCCCTGTGGTGATGTTCAAGGGGGTTTTATTGCGGGAGCCCTGTCCAAATTTGGCCGTGTGTTTTTTGGAGGGGACCGCGAAAACGGCGGGTTGCCACAAAGGCACCCTCCAAAACAGACACACCCTGGGGTTGAAGCGAACCCTGGGAGGATTACCAGCCCCCAGGGCAATCCAAATTCCGCGTGAGCGCGGTGTTGCGCTTCACGCGCCCAGATGGCTCCACAGATACCATTGAGGCGGTCAATGCAGAGACCCTTGGATGCGACCTTAGGCTTATGTTTTTAGTATTGCTATGTATTCTCACTGGGACCATTTTAGTTGTTAATCAAATGTTGAGACCTGTTTGTGCCAATCCACACAGGACGTGAGTACTTGAGGCTGGGCTAAAGTAGGGGAGGCAGGATTGAGGATCCACCCCACCCCACCCCGCCCCCCCCCCCCCCCGCCCCGCACATTGGTGTCAACTGTTGACCCTCACTTCGAGGCCCCACGATGCCAACATCCGTGGCGCCATTTGCGCGGAGCGGGCGGCCCTCTGTGCCTTTCAGAAGGCAGAGGCTGGCGCAGGCTCGAAAATCACGCGAGTGGTGTGCGCCACTGACAGCAAGGCGGGGTCACACACCATGTGGGATTTATGGATGTATACATCAGGACTTATGAGAGATTGTTTTTTGAATGTGATAAGATGAGCAAAGAAACTGGAGGCCTATTCGGCAAGTAGATGGGGGTTGAAGAAAACGGGGGTTGCTTCGGGTGTCTACATTAGCTGTTTTTGCCAAGGTTGACAAGACATCACTATGCAGACACCATTTTGGGGATTCGGACTTGTGGGTTTGCATGGGGATTTGTGAAGGATCATTTTGCTTGGCGGGACAGCTTCGAGCGGCAGTCCATATATTTGTTTCCATGTTTCGGAACAAGGCTCCCTTTGTGTTCAAATAGGTGTTTGAACATGTTTGAGGGGTTGAGTCGCTCAGCTTTCGCCAGGATCCTATTTTCCCGGGCCCCCTATGCCGGGAATTCCTCACGGCCGTTTGCGACCCCTCCGTCGAGATTGTCGCTACGGGCGCCGGTGGCTCGGGTACTCCCGCGCCGGTGGCGGTGGCGGCGTTGGGGGAGCTGCTGCCGCTCCCCTCGCTGTATAGGAAATGCGGCCAGGCGCGGGTCGCCGCTTTTCTGTTCGCTGCCGGCTTTTCCCCCCTGTTTGGCCACTTGGGTTTGCTTCATTGTCAAGGCTTTTTGACCCTTTGGTAGAAAGGGGGCCAACGAGTGAACCCTCCTCCTTCAGGCCAGGGTAATTAGATAAGCTAAGGGTCTTGTTTCATAGACGTCAGCTACAAGAATGTCTACAAGACATTGGCCAAATTCCCACCAAAACAAGGATTTCCTGTAGAAATTGTGCCAGTTTCCTTGATTGTTTCGGACTTCCTCAGAGAGGAAAAAAAGCACATGGTATTTGCGCCTTGCGGTTGACCGCTGGACATCACCGCCCGAGCTGCTGAGGAGGCGGCGGGGACGCAGGCGCAGCGGCTGAGCTTGAAGGCTGAGGTGCCTCAGGAGGAAGAGATGAAGAAGGCCTACCAGGCTCTGCTTCCCACTCAGGGCTTGGGAAACAAGGGGTCAAAAGAGGCCTGAAATGGCCAGTTCAGAATTCAGGCGTTTGTCATGCTTGAATGGTTTATTGGGACACCAACCCAGATATCCAGTGCCCCTGCTCTCATTTCTTTGGAGGGCTTCCCTTTATGCATTACCTGGCTAACTCCCTCCGAATCATAGGGGGCGTGATGAGCCTCCAGTAAAGGGCGAGCCCACCTATCAACCAGGGGTTGACATTGGGGGACTCCGAACATTGCTTGGGTGTCCTTTTGGCTTCCCTTTCAAAGAAAGCCTTTTGCGGGTTTCCTGTGGTTCTTGTAGGCTGTAGGTTCGAGGTTTGTTGGGTTTCCTGGGGTTGTTGTGGGTTTTTTTAGGGTTCCCCTGCGGATCTGCCAGGAGGCCCTGCAACTGGCGCAAAAGCAGGAGGCCCAGACCGTGGTATACCCTTTGGTCTTCGCGGCGGCGGTATGCTTCGAGGAGGGTGAAGGGGTGGTTTTCTGGGGAAGGCATTCTGGAAGCTTCGGTCTCCGAAGCTAACGAGATGACCCAGCGGAAAATGGGAGATGTTGTAAAATGGCTTATTAATGTCCACCTGGGATTAGTAAACGGGGTCCCCCCCCCCCCCCCCCAACGATGGGGTCACCTGGAATAGTATGTTGAGATCCAGTTCAAGTGAGTTTCCATTTGATTTAGTATTGGCAGACTTGAGTTTCCATTTGATTTAGTATTGCTGGAGCTTCCTTTTGAGATTTGGAACTGAGTTTCAATTTGATTTAGAATCGGTAGACTTGAGTTTCCATTTGATTTAGTATTGCTGGAGCTTCCTTTTGTTTTTCTTGGGGGGGGCCAGGCAACAAGACTTTATTTCGGGGGCCCCTGAAATAATGTCAAGTTGGGGGCTGAAGTACTACCCCCTTTGTGGGTTTGATTGTTTGCAGGTTTTAAACAAGAGACATGCAAGAAAACATGGGTTTGGTAAAGCTGACAGTTTTGGATTTGAGGAGCAGGCCCAAATCTAACAGTAACAACACTGGTTGTAACAACACAGCATGAAGCACTGCCAGCCTCACCTAGGCTGTCTAACTACTTGACTAGCTAAGAGGCAATTGCGCTGGGCAGGTTGTATTTTTCAGGGGGCCAGGCAACAAGACTTTATTTCGGGGGCCCCTGAAATAATGTCAAGTTGGGGGCTGAAGTACTACCCCCTTTGTGGGTTTGATTGTGGGCAGGTTTTAAACAAGAGACATGTAAGAAAACATGGGTTTGGTAAAGCTGACAGTTTTGGATTTAAGGAACAAGGTACCAAAGATCCAAGGACCAGGGTTGGCTATCTCTCCTCTCCTTCCTGTCCTTTCTCTCTTTCTCTCTTCTTTTTTGTGACTTTTTGTGTGACTTTTTTTGGGGGGGACATTTTTTTTCATGGGCGGGGGGGGGGGGCTTTATTAGGTGCATTTAATAATATGTTTGGGCCCCCCATTTGTCTTTATTGCAGGTGCATTTATAAATCCCACGTGGACATTATTGGTCGTTGCCAGTTTCTCACTCCGTGAGTTCCTAAACTTTAGTGACTCTTTGTGTTTGGACCTTTTTAAATAGTGGTACACAAGCAGTTTGGCGACTTTTGCTGACCAATTCACTCAAGAAGTGAGGTTTGTATATTGGCAGATGTGTGGAAAGCGGAAACCACCAATTGGACCCTTTGTGTTGGTAGGTTGGTTGTATGTCCCATCAAACCCTTGGGGGGGGTGCTCCTTTGGCCAAAAGATGATGCCTTGGTTGCTCAATGGCCTCCACCATTTGAGTCCTGTTTTGTGTAGTTCGCCCGCTGGACATAGTCAAAACCTTCGCCCAAACAAGCAAACAACAACACATATGCTCTAGACTTTGTTTGCCAGGGCCACCAGGTTCAGAGATCCAGTTCGGGTACAAGCACATGTGGATACATTTGGTTTGTTCAAACAAGTTTTTAGGCTCCGTTGTGAAACAAGTGTCCGTTGTTTGGTCAGCATGTTTACTTTTCCTGGAGACTCCTTTTTGGGGTTTCTATGTCAATTTGCAGCGGATCGCCTACCGTTGCGGTGTTTAAGCTGAATGGATTCAAGGGGACGGGCGATCCCAACACCCGCTGGCTTTCTCTTTGCAGCGATGCAGCGGCTTAAGCCGGGCCAACTTTCAGGCCGACCTTCGCTCGGCTTGGTGTGTCTCTAGTTTCCCTTCCCAGTGCTTCAGGCAAGCCACTAGTAGGCAACCGGGGAGTCTTACCTCTATTTCAACATGATGGTTTCCCCTGCTTAGCTACCATAGGTCATATTACCCTTGGTTGGTGCTTTGGATTAGTGCTTTGGATTAGTGCTTACTTTGGATTTCTTTTGGGTAAATGGGGTTTACCACCCCTAACCACACCTCCAAACCACCGCTTCGGCTCAGACCACCAGTCGCCTAATTGGGTGTGTCTTATGATGGGCCCCGGAAATGGTTTTCCCTTTGGCTTCCTTTTGAAGCAACCCCCGCAAGGGTATACCCTGAAAACAAGACAGAG